CTTGGAATGGTAAAGTTGGATTGCCATGGTTTATGTTGCTTTTTTCTTCTTTAGTAGTGAATCATATGCTAGAGGAAGTGGAGGGGGGTTGAGGGGGGAGGGGGTATAAACGGGGAATGTAAAGATGCTCGATTTGATTTGCAATGGAAATAAATTCATGAAGATGATAATGTTGTTGTTGCTAAAAGCGTTGCCAGATTTTTCTTTAAACTACATTGGAGATGTATGATAAAGTAGTATACAAGTATATAACATGAATCTCTACACATACAAAATCATCTTTTTTTTCCCTGCACCACTCACACTTCAAGCCTTCTTCCTCGCCTCCCACGTCCCCACCGCCCTCTCAAAAAGCTCTTTACACGGGACTCGCGAGCCCAGCCTCGCACACAGCAAAAATGCACCACTGAGCTTTCTATGCAAACTATACGTTTCCTCGGGCGGAGGCGCTAATCTCTCCTTCACCATGACGGGAATCAAGCCACGAACCCGATCCGTAATAGTCTGATCTCTAAAATCATACACCACAGGACCGGATGTGCTAAACGGTTCGGCGAGGGTAAGTACGCTCTGGATATGCGCATCGAGCATAGCGGGACTCTCATTTCCGGTCAGGTAACCCAATTGGAGTGAGAAATCGCGGATTGCATCTTTATTACCCTTGGACGCGGCAATGAGGACTTGGATGTATGGTTCGACGAATTCATCCGGGTAGTCTCTGCTTGCGCCAAAGTCCAAGAGTTCGATTTTGTGTGCTTTGGGGTTGTACAGGAAGTTTGTCCAGTTGGGGTCTGTTTGCATGAATTTGAATTCTACGATTTCGCGGAGACAGAGACGCAGGATTTGGGTGCCGATCCAGTCGCGCTGGTCTTGGGTCAGGGTTTTGAGTTTGGTGACGCCTACACCTTGCATGAATTCGGCGGTGAGGACGGTAGGGCCGCTGGCTTCGGTGAAAACTTTGGGAACAGTGAAGACGTCTGTATCGTCTTGGAGAAATTCACGAAAGCGGGTTTGGCATTCTGCTTCGCGTGTGTAGTCACATTCCCAGCCCAGCTCGGTGCGTGCGTTTGCAATGGTCTTGTCAAGATAAAGACCCTTGGGTAGGAGACGGGATGCTGTTAGGAGAAGGGAGAGGTTGTTAAGGTCCGAATCGATAGAATTGGCAACGCCTGGGTATTGCACCTTGACAGCCACTGTCTGCCCAGTGGACTTGAGTACTGCTTTATGCACTTGGCCAATCGAAGCTGCCGCTATAGGAACGTCTTCAAATGACTCAAAAAGGTCTCGCCAATTCTCTCCAAGGTTGCTACTCAAGACTTTGTTTCTTTGCGAGGCTGGCATATAGTCGGCACTATCCTGGACTCGCTGCAGTACATCGTGAATCGCAGGTGGAAGCATTTTGATGTCCTGGAAACTGATCATCTGACCAAGCTTAAGGGCAGCGCCTCGCATGCGTGACAACTTCGCCACCAGAATCTCTAGATTTCGCTCACTCAACATGAGGGAGCCGGTGGTCGATGCAGCACTACCAGTTGCACGTCGAAGACCCTCGCCCACAGCTCCAAGAGCCATGCTAGTGCCCAAACCGGCGTATTGCCATATGCGGCCAAATCGTGACGACGGGACTCTTGATTCTCGAAGCGTGTATGCTGCCTTCTCTGGCGTTGCTGCTATCTCGCTGGTTGACTATGGTACGACTGTCAGTAAATCAGCATACTTCAGGCCAATGAGTAGGTTTGACATACCTCTGATGGAGCTGCATTTGCCTGAGCATCTTGAGCAAGTTGAGACGCAAGCTGTTCCATCTCTTTGGGAGTGGTCTCTGATTGCGGTGCCTGAGACAGTTTCGGTTGTGACGCTGTTGAGCTTGGCTTCTGTGTTGATGTCAAAGGCCTATCGTCGAGCGGATGTCTACCCATGGGTCGATCGTCAAGCGGATGCCTGCCCACGGGTCGATCATCAAGTGGATGCCTGCCGCTGCTCTTCCGCTCCGCATACTCTTTCCGCGAAAAAGGATCGCTTCCAAGCATCCTCGCGACGCGCTTGGAATGAAACACATCCGTGTTTATGCCTTCTGGTATATCGTCTTCGACTTGTCCAGGCATAGCGGTCTTTTGAAATTTGTCTGTTGGTGTAGAATCACCCTTTGTTTTTCCAGGCAGCGGTATGGTAGTATGTGTAGACTCAACCGGCTTCAGATCCTCTTCCCTTTTCCTAGTCTGCTCACTCTGGTCTTGTGCTAGAGGATCCTTTGGTGTCTCGGGCACCGGTCTTTCAGAAAAAACATCTTTTCCTTTATCCTCCTGCTCCAGGGTTAACCCATTGCTCGGGATGGTGCCATCTGGTAATGGTGATCTAGGTGCTTCCCGTTGCTCCACTTCCAATTCCTCTGTAGGCGGCGGGGTGTTGACCGTGTTCTGCATGGAGCGGTCATAGTGATGATCCTGTTCTACACCCTCCTTTACATTTCCTGATGGTGCCTGGTCCTTGTTGACTGTTTCTCTTCTCGGAATATCCTTAGACTGCGATGGTTGTGACTTCCATGTCTGCTGTGTCCATTGTCCGCCTGTCGCTCGATCGGCCGCGGCTTTTGCGTACGAAGGTGCTTCCTCGCTGAAGCGTTGAGAGAGGGCGATGGCAGCGGCTGCCGTAAGAGTAACGCGGTCGGTCTGGTTCTTGACGGCTTTTGCTAGCGACGACGTCTTTGTGTAAGCATCCCACTGGTTCGATCGAAGCGCAATGTGCTTCTGAGCGACGCCTCTCGAGGCATTGAAGAGCTTGGCGGCGTCAACGAGCCGTCTTCCTGCCATTGCGATCAGATACAGATGGGCTACCGGCTTGCAATCTGCATGGCTTTGATGCACATGGGCAGCCTGTGAATGGCGATGGTAATGGTAGTGGTGGTGTTTGTGGATAGGTTCACATTAGAGGGTACTTTAGCTATGCGCGTCATAGCTGCCACAAGCGATGTTCCCCCCAGGGCGCAAATTGCGCGATTGGCTGGCTGGCTTTGGTTGGCTTTGGCCTGAATTAGCGACGAGCGTGCCTTGTCGATCAACCCTAGTGGGGCAAGACAAGCTGGCCCCCTTCGTGCTCACCAAGGGCCTCTCCCACAACCCACAAGCAGAACTGCACTCCTCGCTGAGCTTATTTGGGAGGAACAGAGTATGCGCTTATCGGTATCATCTGTCTAGGTCATCTGACGTTCTAGACTGCCAAGCGAGCGAGCGTATTACTCATGTACATGCCATCGGTAACTGGACAATTGCTACCCGCTGCCTTTGTGTACACGGATTGGTTCTTCAACAATTGACCAAGGCCTTCCTAGGCCGACCAATACATCGCTTTAGACGGCTAGTGAATCAAACACCCTCGTCTTAGGGTGTGTCTAAGACGCGTTCGCCACCTGCTCTCATATCCCGCCCTTTCACCTCTCAGCAACACCTTACCAAACCACGCCCGAAGCAGAACAGCACCAACGGAACCGGAAATATGAAAGTTGCGTGTCTTCAGTTCGCCCCGGAGGTAGGCAAGTTGCAAGACAATATCCAACGCGCCGACAGCATATTAAAAGCCACCCAAATACCTGCCGACTTGGCCTGGCTTATCCTCCCGGAACTCGCCTTCTCCGGCTACAACTTCCATTCGCTCGAGGAGATTAAGCCCTTTCTGGAGCCCACAACCGCGGGCATATCCACCCAATGGGCCCAACAGACTGCAAAGCACTACAACTGCCATGTTACGGTCGGATACCCAGAAATCACAGTACCCTCTAGAAACCCGGCGGATGTGCAGACGCAATACAACTCGATAGTAACCGTGTCGCCATCTGGAGAGGTAATCAACAACTACCGCAAATCCTTCCTCTACTACACAGATGAAACATGGGCGTCAGAGGGTCCAGGCTCAAAGTCCCATAACCTCTCCAACCCTGCATCCCCAGACTCACCCTTCTTCGCCGGTGAGCTGGGAGAGCTGGGAAATGTCACCCTGGGCATATGTATGGATATCAATCCTTACAAGTTCATCGCTCCGTGGACAGACTACGAGTTCGCTTCAAAAGCACTGTCTTTTCAGTCGCCCATCATCTGCGTCTCAATGGCTTGGCTGTGTCATCTCTCACCGACTGAACTTGCAACCGACCCATCACAACCAGATGTAGCGACTGTCGCATATTGGGTTGAAAGATTCCAGCCGCTCGTTGAGGATAAAGGCGGCAGGCCGGTGTGTGTCATCTTGGCAAATCGATGTGGAATGGAGAAGGGGCTTTGCTATGCGGGAAGCAGTACTGTTTTGCGTATCGATAAGGGCGTAGTCAGCCTCTACAACACGGCGGGCAAGAGCGAGGAGACCTGTTTGATCGTGGATCTGGCGGATCGTCCCAAGTTTCAGGTGAGAAGCGGGCGGTAGTGGGAATAGAAAGCGGCCGGTGTCTGGTTCTCGTGGCGTGGCTTCATGTGGCGGTACTTGGCTTCAGCCAAGCCCAGCCAAGCCAGATACGCTCTTGAGTAAACTGTATATACAGTCATCCATGAGGTAGTTTAGTATTTGAGCTAGCAACTTAGATGTGGACGGTCAACTTGTTCGGGATGTTGTAGAAGTAATGGTTGGGGTGGGAAAGCCTGCAAAGTTTTATGTTCCCAAGTGCGTCACAAGTGTCGTTGGTCTACATGACTAATGCAGTACATAATGCCAATCATTTGAACTTTGCAGTATCGTCACCGTCCGAATGGCCACGTCCTGCTTATTGGGATTCGAGCGGGTTACTTTCTCGGCTCACGTGTACGGGAGTACTATGCCATGAGAACGGCTCTGGTTATTAATCTCACCACATGACAACTGCGAGCGACTTGCATCACACAATCAAAACACCATTCGTTGTTCATTGCGACCCAGCAAGTGGTTTCATTCATCACTGCTTAGTCTAACCATCATGAATCGATTCCTTTCATGCCCATTTACAGACCCAAAGCGCCGTGAATCAGAGGTAGGGAGGTATCCGGTAACGTGAAAAGAGTACCGCCCACTGCATCCCTCGTATTGCAGATGTACTTCGCTTAGAAGACTGGTCGCTCGGTTCCCGCCATGTGCGAAATTCCCAATATGATCGCTCGTTTCGTACAGTCCTTGTCGTCGTCGTCGAAAGAGGTGGCTGGGAATCGGAAATCGAGTGAGGGATGGCTCGAAGGGGGCGATCCGCTTAGATACCGAGACGGGTCTTGCGCCAGTGTCGTCGCTTGGCGTTGTACCTTGGGGTGCAGTGTCAGTTCGAGTTCTCACGGTCGTGGCCAGCCCGTCTTATGGCATTGCATGCAGCTCTGAGAGACACAAGAGTCTACGAGGATGCTGCAAGGAAGTCGTACCTGATGGTGTTGCCGGTCCTCAGGCGAATCCACTGAGGGATGGGGCGGTTTTGCTTCTGCGCTTTGGCAAGCTTCTGCTTGGTGCGGAATGACTTTTGGCTCTGCAAAAATCGTCAATAGGCGTTGCTACAGGGCGGCGTGGCCGTAGGAGATGATATCATACCGGCATCTTGACTGCTTGTTGTGAGTAGTCGGATGTCGAAGAAGTTGTCGTTGTCGTGGAAAAGCGAATTTCAGGCTGTTAGCCGAGCTCCATGGTGCGCTGCCAAGCAGCCAGAAGTGCTAGACCGCATTGGGAACTTTGGTGGTGCTAGTGTGGCTGCCCCAAACCCCACCTTCACCTTCTTACACTCCTATACACGGCAATGTGTTGTGTACTGCGCATGTCCTCGGTTTAGAAGTGTAGCTTCATGACGTCTTGATACCTCATGGCATGCTTATGCGCAGAACCATCCGTTTGGCTCACGAATGCTATGCTTCTCTACAAGCAGTTGAGTGGATTGTCTAACCACGGAACAGGACGAATGAGATGTACTGTATACTATCAACAATACCTTCATCCTATCTAACAGGACTGTATTTACCGGAGAACTAACGCCATGGCAAGGGTTACGTTCCTTTTCGACAATTCACATTCAACAATCACGAGTACTTGCACTGGTTCACTGCAGGTGGTCAATGTTCATCTGCCAGAAAAGGTAGAATGCCATCTCGACATATTTCATCTTGGACCGTCAACAACGAAAAATGCAACTCGATCACGTGTCTTATCCGGACGTTCACCAGCTCGTTAAATAGTCTTATTGCCAAGCCTATCAGAAGACTCGCTTAGCAAGAAGCATACTTTTGTGACAGCTTAACATACAACTTTATGTATCTATCGTCGCACGTAAACAAGACGTCTTAACGAGTCAGGCCTGCAAGTCGACTGAGCAGTCCGGCTGGGCGTCCGTTGAGCCATCGGCTAATAATTTGCCACGATGGTTTGAGGCCGGATGGCTATGGAATTGGGAATTGGTGGGTCTGGAACGGCTGTTCTGTATTAAGTACGAGGGATCGGTGGGGGAGTACGGGGCAAAGGCGAGCGGACTCAGGACACCGAGAAGAGAATCGGGCAATAAGAGCAGGGCAGGGTAAGTAAAGTATGGCGCACATTGCCTGCCAACCCAAGACCCTGTTTCATATAGCGCCTGCACGATGCTTGGCCAAGGTGGTTGGGGGGAGCGTGAAACCTCAAAGGTGCGGACTTCAGGGTATGCAGCTGTACATTAGTCCGGTCAGAGTGGACCTGGCGTACAGCGACCCAGCAAAGCCGTGCCCACCAACCTATAACGCCAAGAAGCATAGGTGAGGTTTTTGTTCGCGAGCGTCCAGACGGGACTGCGTGAAACACATGCGACGAATGTTTTGTCAGAAACCAATGGCGATCTCGGCTGGTACACCCCAGATTCAGCAGCGCGAGCTCTGGCCACAGCTAAAGTGGGCGCATCTGCAGGAGTTAGCGGAGCGAGGCCATGGCGATCCCGCCCTGGATGAAAGACCCTCTTGTTTCGGCGAACCTCCTCGTCGCATTCTGCCGCGTCCACGGCCCTATTGCGGTTCTCGGCGCCCTCTGCACCTCAGGCCTGAACGATTCCGCTGCAACATCACTCCGGCCGCATATCGCTCTGCATCTGCGCCGTGGTGGACGAATCCGCCCATTTCCCTACTACATATTACTGCCATCCAGCTTCTCCGCTGATCCCAATCATCCTCGCAGTTGCCCTGCGCCAGCGCGATAACCAACTCCACCCTCACGCCCGTTTTGCTTCTGCCGCGTTGACGCGCACAAACATCGTCCCAAGACATTGGCCTTTTCTTCCAACCAAACTGAACCCAAATCGTCGCGTCTGCCCACTTTCTCCATCCCCATTGCCGCCATGACTGACTACCCTTCCACACCACCGCCCCCGTCGCCCTCCACGGCGACAATCCCCCGCTCATCAAGTGTGCCCCGTCTTGCCAACTCCAAACTCTTCTCTCCCCAGAATGAGGCTTCTGCCATTACTACGCGCGGTCACCACCTCCCCTCGCTACTACACAGCTCGCGTCGGCCGTCAACCATACGCAGCAGCGAGCGTCGCGGCAGCGACACAGAGGACGAGGATATGGAAGCGTACAGACACGGACTTATGATGGCTTATGACCGCGATTCAGACCGGAGGAGTAGCATCGGTGCACACATTCTCAACACACCCCAGATGCGAAGTCAACGGCTGATTGGAAACTCCAATCCCCGGTACAAGTGGGAAAAATACTACAAGCATGAAGAAGAGCTCAAGGGCATGAAGAAGCCGATCCGCGAATACTACGAGCGCAACAACCAGCTTATCCAAAACTACATGTACATTGACCGTCTTCTCGACTCTTCGCTACCGCACAACCTCATTCAGGAGTACACAAACCTGGAATCGGGTGCGGTCAAGATCCCCACCACAATTACAGAGGAATCCTTGTCTACAGGAACACCAGCCCTCGACGGCCACAACTCTGGTACAACCACTCCTGGACTCTCCAGCGGGGGTAGAACTGGCTCATCGGGGAGTCTCAATGGCAATGGAAACGGCGCGTTGAAGCCCATGGTCAAACGTACACCAAAGAATCTCTACAAAGTCCCCGAGATTGACGAGAACACGCCGCTGCTGGCAAACGAGAATGCTATTCACGACGAGGACGACCTTGAGGCAGCCAAGTCAAAGCTCATGGACTGGGTACCAGAAGAAGACGAAGATACCGAAAGTCCCATTGTCAAACTGGCCCTCTATGTCAATCTCAGTGCAAATACGGCTTTGCTGATCTTGAAGATTGTCGTCACAATCATGACATCTTCGCTTTCCGTCGTCGCCAGTTTAGTCGACGCTGCGCTCGACTTTCTCTCTACCGCCATCGTGTGGTTCACTTCCTGGATGATTGCACGTCAAGATCGCTATGCATACCCCGTTGGCCGCAGGCGACTCGAGCCCATTGGTGTTTTGATCTTTTCCGTCATCATGATGACCTCCTTCTTTCAGGTTGGTATCGAGGGTATCTCACGGCTTACGGGTAAAGACCACACGATCGTCGAACTGGGTATTCCTGCCGTTGCCATCATGGCCTCCACCGTCATAATCAAGGGTCTCTGCTGGCTCTGGTGCCGCCTGATCCGTAACTCGAGCGTACAAGCCTTGGCTCAAGACGCCATGACTGACGTCGTCTTCAACACCTTCTCCATCTTCTTCCCACTAGTCGGCTACTTTGCCAAGATCTGGTGGCTCGATGCTCTCGGCGGTATCTTGCTCTCTGCCTACGTCATTATCAACTGGGGTGCCACATCTGCAGAGCACGTTCGTAACTTGACTGGTGCGAGTGCAACTGCCGACGAGAGGAACATTCTGCTCTACATGACCATGCGATTTGCTAAGAGCATCAAGCGAATCCAGGGTCTGCAGGCATACCATGCTGGTGACAAGCTGAATGTCGAGGTCGATATTGTCGTTGACGAGAATCTCAGTCTGAGGGATAGCCACGATCTAGGCGAGAGTCTGCAGTACGTTCTTGGTAAGTTATTTTTCCCCCCTTCTCCCATCTTGTACCAACATGTGTACTAACACTGCCTCTAGAAAGCGTACCCTACGTCGACCGTGCATTCGTCCACATCGACTACACAGACTACAACTTCCCAACACACATGTCGCAGCAGGAGTGAAGAACCCACGAAAGAAACACCCCCCCACAACCAAATCTGGTCATTCATTTCCGCAGTTTCCACCCAACTGCAAGACCATCTCCCCCACACATCCTTTCATAAAGACGATGTCGGCTCCATACACACATGGCATTTAGAAAAGGAAAAAAAAACAGAGCGTTGCCGCCTTTTCACCACTTCACCTTGTATCAAAAAACTCTGTATTTTTCCATTGAGAAAGCTATTTTTCTTCGCTTGTACGATTAGGACACAGACGGATTTGTTGTAGCAAGGCAGATAAAAGTAGACAATGGCCGTATGCACTACGCACATATTGGCTATAGAGAAAGAAGAGAGTATTAAAATAAACAATCAAAGATTTTTTCAATGTGAGAAAAGATTTTCTCTCTCTCTAGGATATCATCATGTCGCTTCGAGAGAGACTTCTACTGCTATATCAAAATATATAACGTTATTCTTTACTCAAAACGCTAATAAAAAATAATCTCTAAATCTTTCCAACCTCTCCATCTTTTACCCAGATAGCAAACAAAAGGCCACATTGAAAATCCTTCCCCCGCTTCCCTATCGTGTATCTTCGCCGAAACCCCCCCCCCCCCCCCTAGAAAAAAACATAGCAAAGAATACAGTTGATATATTGTGTGTAAATAAAAAAATAAATATTGTTCATCTACAAGTTTTGACATATGAAACGAAAGAAAAAAAACAAACTAAAACTTTCCTACCTACAAAAAAAAGCACAAAGACGAAAAGGGGGGAAACAGAACAGAACAGGAACCAAAAAGATATATATCCATATGGTAAGTATAAGACAGACCATATACACGCACACACACACACACACACACACACACAAAGTAAGACGACGACATCGCTTTCCAACTAAACCCAATAAAACAACAAGTTCATCCTCCCATTTGATGAAGAAAGAAAAGAGAGGAAAAAAAAGGCGAGACATATGACACGCATCCCTCATCAATCATCATCTACCGCTGCCATGGCCCACGATCCCCAGGGTGTCTAGGCACGCCCGTGACCCAATCGCCCGTAGGAGGTAAGCGCTGATCGGGCAGTGATCCCGGTGCCGAACCAGCACCAGCTGGCGGAGGAGGCACACCTCTGGCATGACTAGCTCTGATAAAGCTGTCTCGGTGGTGGTGCGCGTCACGGGCTTCACGTTCACGCATGTCGCGCTCTCTCATGTTGCGTTCGCGCATGTCTCGCTCGGCTTCTCGTCGCATGTGTTCGTCGCGGTTTTGCATTGCTGCGTGGTGTTGGGCCTGGGCCTGTGCCTGCTCTTCTCGGAGACGCTCAGTCATGCTTCGGTCGCGAGGGTTGCGCATGAAATGGTGAGGTGGCTCTTCGGGGGGAGGGCGTTGGCCGTATAACGAGTGGTTTGCCACTCCAAGTGATGAGTGAGGTGGGTGTTGCAGAGGTGGAGGCTGGCTATGCTCCGACCTTGAAAGTGGAGTTTGAGTCTGGGACCTCTGACCGAGATAACCTCGATCTTGAGATTGATAGCGCAAATCTTCATGCATTGGCGGGCCTGTCGAACGCATTGCGGAGCTGGAATGTTGTTCGCGCAAGTAATCAGCTCTTTGAGAGAGCTCATGGCTAGTGTCGCGATCTGATAGTTGTCGATGGTCTATTTCGTGAGCGTCCCGAGGATCGCGAGGGCGATACGGTTCTGTCAATCTGTTTAAACCCTGGAAAGGATGTTGTCCATGATGCTCATTCGGTGTTTGTGGGTTGGAATACGACATGTTTGCATTCGAAGCCTGCGAATGCTCGTTGCGTCCAGCTGGCTCTCTCTGCTGCACAGCGTGATTTGCCTGCAGACGTGGGCTGGGACGCATACCCATTGGGCCAGACGGGGGTCCGCCATTGCCTGGTGGATCCACCTGAGCGTATGGGTTGGGCTGCAGAATTTGCGCAGACTGCGCAGACGTGTTCATTGCCTGCACATGCTGCGCTGCACTTGTACCAGGCATAGCATGTCGGGACATTGATCCTGGCGGTCCGCTTATACTTGAAGCGCGCGAATGCGGATTTGACGAACTGCTGTATCCAGCAAGAGGAGGCGGGGTTGCATTTTGACGCGGAGTGTTGTGCTGAGCGAAGACGGACCGATGATTGAACATTCTCTCGTTAGCAGGAGGTGCTTGAGCCAGCCCAGACTGCGAGGACGGGATAGAAGTTAGCTGCGGAGTCTGGCTCATCCCTGGGTGATACGATTGTCGAGTTGACCAGCTTTCACGCAAGCTTGGCCTACCTGCTGACGGCTTATCATCTGGAAGATCGATGGGTCTGCTCGATGCTGCGGCGGGAAGCGAGGATTGTTGAGAATACGATGAACGGCTGTAAGGAGGCTGCACAGCAATTGGGTCTTCGTATAGTGGGCGCCTTGACGATGATGAATAGCTCTGGGTTGTCGGGGGAGGAGGAGCGACTGGCGCTGACTGTTGAGGGGTAGAGCTGTGCGATGGCGGACCTTGCTCGCTCGGCTTCTTACGTCTAGGCTCTTCTGGATCGGTGTCGTTTAGCAGAGACATGAGATTCGACTTGCGCGGTTCAGGAGCGGGTTTGTGTGCAACGGGTGGTGGAGTATTGTGCATAGGTGGTTGATTGCGCTGCGGGTGCTGCAGTTGCGAATGGAGCATTGGTTGAGGCTGAGCTGGAGGCATTGCAGAAGGTGTCATGTTCCTAGGCTCTTCTTTAACAGGTGGCGTAAGGATTGTCGAGCGAGGCGGCAGTTGTTGCCCAATGTGACTGGTGTTGGATCCTGGAGAGAATACTTCGGCAGTGGTTTGGTTGAGCGATTGGACCTGCGATGGATGCCGGGAGTGCGAGTATGGCAAGGGACGGTGTTCCGGGGATCTCAAGACCGAGCCTGAACGTACTGGCCCCATAATTGGCGGTGCGCCGCTGGAAGCAAAAGACCTGTGCTGTGGCACCTCTGTGGATATCCGGCGAACATGTTGCTCATGGATCCTGCGTTGAATCTCTTGTTCTTGTGGGTGCTCAGATCTGCCAACAGCGTCTCGTTCCTGATAATGAAGGCCGCGATAGACAGGAGAGTGATGCTCTTGAACACGTGGCTGAGGAGTGACATGCTGCTGTAACGGTCGATGTGACTGCTGGTTACCTGATGGTTGCGAAGGTGGCCGGCTCTCAAAACGCGGCGGCAGGTCATCTGAGAAATACCCTGCTCGGGGCCCCTGCAATTGTGCCTTTTGTTGTGACATGGAATGCTGGTGGTGATGGTGGTGCTGTGCCTGCTGCTGCTGCTGCTGTTGTTGTTGTTGTTGTTGCTGCTGCTGCTGCTGTTGCTGCTGTTGCTGTTGCGGCTGCTGTTGCGGCTGCTGTTGCGGCTGTGGCTGTGGCTGGGCATGTTGGGGTGGAGCGGGTGGAGACTGCTGTGGTGGTATTGAAGGTACAGACACAAGGCTAGTCTCCTGTAGGGCAGGGAATCCCGAATTAGGTACCAGTGGCTTGCTCTGCATGGGCCCTTGGGCAATACTGGGAAACCTCGAAGAGGGATTAGGATGCGGTGGGGATGCCTTGGGTAGCGCAAGCGCGTTCGGAGGCGGAGAAGCGTGTTCAGGCGTAGGCGCAATGGGGCGAACTGGCGCCGCTTGTGTACTCTCATATCGTCTCTTGGGTGCCGGAGTTGGCGTAGGTGGTGGGCCAAGATCTTCGCCGCGTTCCCTTCGTGCATCTGCCTCTTTTGCGACTTGTTCCAAGTCCAGTTTGCCGCTTTCAACAAGGCGGAGGTATTGGTTCTTTATCATAGTGTGCGTCTTGGTGCCCATATGGTTCGCGATTGCAATCCAGTCCGTGCCAAAGTGTGCAACGTTCTTATCGAAGTCCTGTAACTCTGAAACCGACCAATAGCTTGATGGCCCAGGTCTTGCACCAGGCTGAGTCTTGGGACGCTCCATAAGGCTGCCCGGCATACCAGGGAGTTGCTGCAAATCACTGGACATGACTACCTGCTCCTCCATGGGTACAACGTGCATGGGCACGGGCATCTCGTCCAACGGTCGTTTATTCGCATCATCCTCCATCTTGACACCGAAAGCCTTTTCTTTCCGATCGGTTTTGACAACAGAGCCCACGGGGGCTGCAGCGAGTGGCGGGTTCTTTGGCTTGCGACCAAGCTTTTCCTTTGAGGGCTTTCCTCGCCTTCCAGCCTTCTCTTGCGAGCCGTCCGTGTCAGTCTGCCTGCGGGCCCGGGCTGGAGTGACATTTCCGGAAGTTGGATCAAAATCTGTCTCTGTGGGACCAAATGTTGGTGCAGCAGAGCGTCTGGGGCGGCCAGTTTCAGTGACAGGCAAGGGTTGTCCATCCTCGCCTTGCACTTCAGTTCGATCCATGTTGGCAATAGCACTACGGCCCCGGCTGACACCTCCACCACGTTTTCTAGACACACGCGGTTTCCGCAATTTGCCTTTGTACTCTCTGCCCCACTTGGTCGCATAGTAGTGGTTGATACAGTCTTTGTAGGTGCGCTCAGTTCCAACTTCCTTGTACAAGACCTCAGCCAGCTTGCCCCATTTCTTGGCATATTGGTCCTTGTAGTTGTATACCATGACTCGATGCTCTTCAGGTGTGAAGTCATCCTCTGGTGGCTCGTAGTGGAACACAAAGATGCCTTGGCCGGGTTCGCGTTGGAAGTTGTAATCAATGAATCTGCGCCTTTGGGCCTCAGCCTCGGTCAATTCCAGGGGTACGTCTGCTTCTTTTTCAGGGTCAGCCATAGCCTTTCTCGGTTCCTTGTCTCTTTTTCCGAGCTTCTCTTCCTCGGCGGTCTTCAAAGACTCCTTGATAACAGCCTCGAGATCCAGCTCAGTAGCCCACCGGCTCGCATGGTTTCTTCGGCCTGTAGGTGCTAGAGATCCGTCAAGTATTCCGGTCATGGCAGCGTTTTGCGCATCAGGAGTGACAGCTTTTAGCAACGGCTCCGCAGACGGTTGCCTATCATTTTCGTCCTGCTCGCGCTCCTCGTCCCATGGTCGAATATGCAGTCGCCACTCTTTGTATACAGCAGCATATCGTCGAAGGGTCTGATCAATGCTCGTTTCTGGCTCGATGCTCTTGCGTAATTTGCTCCGAATAACATCCATGACAGATTCTGGTAAGGCGGGATGATCTTGTCCAATGTCGGATAAAGGTGTGGGAGGGCCAGAACCAAGGTAGGGTAGCGAACTCAAGTCAGGAAGAGTCTCTTGATCAGCAGAAGTCTCCCGGCGAAGGCGTAGTGCCATAGTAGCAGGTGCTGTTGATCTTTCTTCAACCTCTTCCTTGTCTTCCATTTCGACGTCTTCAGAGTCTTCAGCCCTAGGCGTTGGTAGATCTGCTGTAGTACTGTCTGGTGGCGGCTGAGGAGCTGACAGCATGTCAGGCACTGTCTTGGCAGACAATGAAACCGATTCTTCTTGAGGCAAAGGTGTACCCATCTCTTCTGCAGATGCCAGTTCAGGCCGTGCCTGTGGAAGATGATCGACAGTTAGGCAAGATAGCAAAGCAATTTCTTGCAAAGGCGTCAGGGCGCGCAAGTGTGAAGCACTCAAATCCACACGCTTGGCCTCCAAACGAGCCCGCTCTCGGTTGTATTTCGCTTCCGACTCAGCAAAGTCCTCTTCGTCTAGATCCAAATCGTCGTCAGAGTCTTGCAGAGCTTCCGGCGCGGATGATGCAGCAGACATTGGCGGCTTGGCCATTTGAGGCGACGCCTCTGCCATGACGACATCGGAATAGCGTCTGGTTTCGATCGGTGTGGGTTTAGGCGAAGGCATGACTGGCCGTTCTGCTGACAAGGCTCGTTCTCTAGGCCGTTCGGCATCAGTCGACACTCTAGAAAACGAAGGTGACACTGATTTTGCCTGTGACGTCCGCTGTGGTTGCGTAGCGGAAACACTGTTTTCAAGCCTCGGTGCTTTAGGAGCATTTCCAAACGATCGCTCACGATCTTCTGTGGGAAACTCGCGCTTGGTTGGAATCGATGGCCGGCTCGATGTGAACCCAGGCCGCACCCACTGCATGCTCTTCGGACCTCCGCTCAAAGGGCCCCTGGCCAGCGGGAACCCAGATCTATCAGCTTGATTGTATGGTGGAGGCGGCCGAGGAGCCATTGGTGTTCTGTCGGCTTTTGGACCAGTCGGGATATTCGCTGGGAGGCTCTTGGGAGAAGTACTCATTACAGGCCCACTTCCGCTACCAACGCGGGGTCCAAATGTGGAAGGAGCAGCGTTGGGAGATGCATCCCGAGGGGCGTATGGTGGAAGGGTGGCTCTCGAGAATGAGGGCGAAACATTGGCTCTCAGGGCAGCTTGGGGAGCGGTTGGCGGCGCGCGTGGCCTCGGGGCTGGGCCCTGGGGCGGAGATTTTGCCGTGTTTGATGGGGCCGTTGGTGCTGTTGGAGGAGCAGATGGTATGTTCGAAGGACCTTTGGGTGGCGTAGGCATTTGTGGCGTTACAGGACCCTTGACAGCTACGGTGTCCGAGCTGAGTGCGTCATTGGCATGGGATGCAACAGTGGCAGGCGGAATAGCGGGTGGCTCCATCCGCTGGGGAGGCGGAAGTGGAGGAGGTGGAGGGCCAGGCCTGCTCTCTAGATTGGGTGCATCATTAAGCGGAGGGCGATCCGGTGCACGATCGGCCTTGGGCCCAGTAGGCGGGGCGGTGGCAAGGCCAGAGGGGATAGCGGATTTGGGAGCAGTAGGAACTGTGGGTGTTTTTGCGGGCGTTGTGGGAACAACAGGCGCAGTCGAAGCAGCAGGTCCAGATGAAACAGCAGGGGTTATGGGAACTGAAGGAGTTGGAGGAGCCGCGGAGGGTGCTGGAGCAGGTTGGGCAGGTTTGGGCGGTGGTACTGGAGCAGTGCTTGGTTTGATATCAGTGACGGGTGCTCTCCACACATTAGACCCACCAAATGCCGGGATCGAAGCGGGAGGTGACGATGCTCGCGGAGCATATCGTTCCCTCGATGCTTCTGCACGGCTGGCTAACAGGGCCTCGTCCTTACCAGGTTCCCGACGGACATCCTTGGCAGAGAGCGGATCAATGGCAAGAGAAGGCCGTCTTGGATATGAATCTCCCTGCGAGCCCAACCTATCAGACGGAGATGCATGATGAGAAGAGTGAGGCGTTGGTCCTGTAGGTGTGCCTGGAAGATGCCTTAGGTCGGAAGAACCTGGTCCACGGTGGGTGTCTAGTGCGCGCAATCCGGGTTTTGCAGTACCTGCAGGACCAATGTAAGAATCATACTCTCGGGGAAACCTCCGGTCATCACGGTCTCTTCGGTCAAAGTCGCGTTCTTCTCGAATATCCCGTTCTTGGCGTCTAGGAGGAGTCCGGCTTCTGGGGCGATACGATGTACGTTCTGGTATCCGGTCACGTGGATCGTGATGTCGGTCCCGATCATCACCATGGAAATTCCTACCGCGTCCTGCAAACCCACCTCGGCCTCGGCCTATGCCTCCACCACGGTAGGATGATGCTGTACCAAGAGGAGGGGGGTCCGAATACGTTGAACCTGCCGAGAGAGGGCCGTCTCGTGAATTGCGTCGAGCGCGGTTGACATCCAGGTCACGCGGTGCAAAGTCTCTCTGGTCGCGCAGATCCCTAGAATCTCGAATGGGCGACCGGCGGGGTGGAGTTGGTCTTCTCTCACGCCGATCAAAGTCGCGATCTCGGTCGCGGTCTGCTCTCCACGAGTTTTGAGAGTTGTGTGAGAATCCGGGCCCGCTGCTAAGTGGAGGCGCGGTTCGCAGTGGAGTTGCCTCACCGCGTCCAGCGAAACCTCGGGCTCTTTCATCACGTGGAGCTGGGGATGCGCCTGAGGGTGGCCCAGCTGGTGGACCACGTGGCGCATCGGCCAGTGATTTGGGGCCTTTGGGGATTTCGCGTGGGAAGCTGGCTGGCTCTGCATTTGGGCGAAAGGTTTCATTACCTCTTGGGGGGTATCCTCCGCCGCCTCCAAAGGCGGATGGTCTTCGATCCCGGTAGGGTGGAGATCTGTCGCGTGGGTATCTGCCATTGTCGGGGTACCGCGAGGCAGACATGATGGTGGTCTCTTGCTGTGGATGGAAACTGCAATTGCGGCATGGGCACAAGGAGGGTTCAGCGGCCAGGTAGGAAGCGATTTGCCGTCGTCAGAGAGCGTGGTCGCGTGATGGATTGATTGGGTTGGTTGGATTGGCTGGATCGGTGGTGTGGATGGTGCAGTGGTGCAGGGATGGGATCAGAGCGGCAGGACAGGCGGTCCGGGCGACGGGCAAGTTGGGTGAGAATAGGGTTGAATGGAAGAGGACGGCCAAGTGCGTGATTCGTCGAGCCAGGCGTGGTGTCGTAGGTTGACGTCGGTCAGGTACGTAACTCAAGGTTCGTGTTTGCAAGGCCGTGGTAGACGAGGCGCTAGCGGCAGGGCCCGTGCTTTGAAACCAGGGAAATGAGGGAAAGCGCCAAATCCCCGATCCGCGGTGGAACAGGCGCAGCTTCTCGGCGCCGGGCGCTGAGATTCAATCTGCTACCGTCGTCTCTGGCGCCCAAAGCGTGCGTCTCGCGGTGGAAACGCGTGCAACGGGGGCGGGACGGGGAGAGGGCTGGGCTGGGCAGCTGCTGGAGCTGGAGCAGCGTGTCGGGGGCCGGCAGAGGGCGGCGGGAGCCGTGTAGGAGAGATTGTGCAGCCCGTCGACGTGGCGCTGGGATGGTTTGCGAGCGAGCGTCCCGGGCACGTGAGGCAGCGGCTGGCAGGGGGGTGGGAGATGGAAAGGAGGGGGGCTGTCTCGCCGGGCTGCGCACTGGGGCTCTGCTACGGCATGGAGGCGTGCAGAGAGACGTCGTCGCAACGAAGGTGTGATGATGGGAAGGGGAACGTCGAGGAGACCAGAACACGAGAACGAAGCACTGACACCCAGCCATGACGGATGCCTGCAAGTCAAAATGGACGCCCCGGTTGGCCTGCAACGGCTAGCGAGGGAGTCCATGCAGGCGGGCGCGGGCGCGTGTGATTGGGCGCCGACTTGGACATTCGCGATTCCTGCAGGGGGGGCAGCAGCAGGCTTTGCCTCAGATTTCGGCCCCGGTCGCGCTAGGCCGCTTGGGGCCGCACTCACGCTGCCCGCTGCACACCACCGCCCTCGCTGCTCGACTGCCACACACGGCCGCAGAGAGGCATCCACCGCGCCCCCTCTGCCCCAGCTGCCCTCGCCCGCGCCCGCGCACGCACGGCACCGCACCCCAGGGCACGCATACGGCGGCGGCGGCGACGACGACGACGGCGAGCAGAGCCTGGCCGCGCCCGCTGGCCGTGAAGGGGATCGACCCGCGAACTAGCCTCACACGGGCAGGGATGCCAGTGCCACGCCTTAGCCTCCCTCCTGGCCACGGGTGTGGGGGCTCTTTTTCCTCAAAATCTGCCGCCACACTGCCTTGCAGGGTGCCCTTTCTGCGTGCTCCAACAGTCAGTCGCCAACGCCCAAATACGCCGAACCCCCCTCCTCCACCTCGCCCTCGTCCTCGTCTGCGGCCACCGAGCCCATCGTGACTGACGCGCACCCGCCCATGGCCAGCTCCTCGTCCGCGCCCGCCGGCGCCACAGATGCCGTGCTGAAGCCATCCGAGCCGGTGCCTGAGGGTGTGCAGCAGGTGCAGGGCATCGACTTCAACCAGCATGCGGCGCGCCCCATCACCGTCGACGAGCTCGTGGGCGGCTATGCCACCATGGGCTTCCAGGCAACGTCGGTGGGAGCGGCTGTGCGAATCATCAACGACATGGTGAGTTGGCTGCTTGCTTGCTTGCTTCTGTCCCGATCGTCGGCATGCGCGTGCCAGTGCCAGTGCCAGTGCCAGCGTCAAGTGCGGAGACTGTACTTGCCCTTGGCTACGCCGCCGGGAGGGCTGCCGTCCGTGCGCCGCTCCTGGCCATTGTCTCCGAAAGGCGAAACGTTTAGCCTGATTTAGCCATACACGACCACCGCTGAGCCTACCGTCCACACTAGGGGCCAATGCTAATATACCTGACAGCGCGCCTGGAGAGACGCTGAGACGGGCGACCGCACAACCATCTTTCTGGGATACACGTCCAATCTCATCTCGTCGGGCCTGCGCGAAACACTGCGCTACCTCGTCCAGCACAAACATGTCTCGGCCATTGTCACCACGGCCGGCGGCGTCGAGGAGGACTTTATCAAGTGCCTCGCCCCCACCTACCTGGGCTCCTTCTCCATGCCTGGCGCCGGCCTGCGCAAAAAGGGCATGAACCGCATCGGCAACCTCGTCGTCCCCAACAGCAACTACTGCGCCTTCGAGGACTGGGTCGTGCCCATTCTCGACCAGATGCTCGACGAGCAGGAGGCCAGCAAGAAGACCGACGACCCGCTGCACTGGACCCCGAGCAAGATAATCCACCGCCTGGGCAAGGAGATCAACGATGAGCGATCCGTCTACTACTGGGCGTGGAAGAACGACATCCCGGTCTTCTGCCCGGCCCTCACCGATGGAAGTCTGGGCGACATGCTGTACTTTCACACGTTCAAGTCGTCGCCGGAGCAGCTGCGTGTAGACATTGTAGAGGACATTCGGAAGATCAACACGATTGCGGTCAGAGCAAAGCGGACAGGCATGATTGTCTTGGGTGGCGGACTGGTGAAGCACCACATTGCCAATGCGAACCTGATGCGCAATGGCGCCGAGAGCGCCGTCTACATCAACACGGCCCAGGAGTTTGACGGGAGCGATGCAGGAGCGCGGCCAGACGAGGCTGTCAGCTGGGGGAAGATCAAGCTGGATGGAGACAGTGTCAAGGTGTACGCAGAGGCAACGGTAGTGTTCCCGCTCATTGTGGCGGCTACTTTTGCACGAGTGGCCGCCACGGCAGCAGACTAATCGAAACCAAACAAAAAAGCGAGCATTGCAATGACGGGCATGGCTTGTGCAAGGTGAAGCTGCAGCGAGTTTTGCATGGAGCAACGTTGATGGTGCGGAGAGAGCTGATGCAGGGAAGGCGCGATCGGGCCCACCTTCCCCACTGGGCCGACAACGCTAACGTGACTGCCTGGCTAGCCGGTGACTGTGGAGCAATCGATAAGCAGCAGCGCGAAGCTGAGGTGCCGCGATTCCTCCATGATGATGATGATGATGATGCCAATGAGCAGCGAACCATGCCACGCAGCCCTATGCCTATGCGATGACTCAAGCACCCCCGGCCCCGCGACCACAGCATGCAAAAGGGCGCCTGGTGCTGATGGCGACGCCCTCCACGTCAACTCTGCGGCGTGGTGGGAATAGCGTTGCCTGGGGGGTCGGCCGATTGCCAGGCAGCTTTACCGCCTCACTCTACTCTGTTCTGTTGGCCAGCTGCTGCACGCTGGTAGGCTGCAGCCCTTTCTTAAGCTCCAGCCACGCCTGTACCTGACCTCACCTTTTTCCCACACGAGCCCGGCCTCTCCAGCTCGTCCCTCTCCCACAGCCCCCCAAGTAGATAAACCCCCCCGCGTGCCATCCGTCTGAGCTTCAGACTACATCCCCCCGTGCTACCTGCTCGCCGACGCGACCACACCACCGACTTGTTGACCCTCACCGATAACAGCAGCCGTCCGCCTACCTGCAGCCTCGTGCATATTCCCTCTCGCCAATCCCTTGTCTCGCACCTTGACCCAGCCGTCCATCTTTGCTTCACTCGCAAACACATCAAACCCTCCTTCCTCGCTTTCACATGCGCCTTCATCTACTCTTCAACCATGAGTGTCAGCGTCGAGCGACAGCCGCTGCACTTTAGCCAGCAGCTCTCAAGCCCCTCTCGCTCACCAACCCATCTGCTTCATGCTCACACGCCTGCCTCTCCTCCGCCACAGCCTGCTGCCGACATGGACGTGAGCGCCTCCACCAACAACACATTGCCGCCCGCTGGCCAGGACCACGACCGGAGCGATGCTGAGATGCAGGACGGAGACAATGCTACTCATCGCGACGCCTCCACCAACACAGTCGCTGTCGAGATCTCTGCTATAGACGAGGATGCCATGGACGTAACGCCTGATGCTGAGCCGGACGCATTACTGCTGAACCACTCGTCTTCCCAGGCACAGGATAGCACCCTCACTACACCCCTGTCCCCTGCACCAGACGACTCTGTAAGCCTCACTTTACATTCATTCTTGGACTTGCGTGTTTCAGTGGACCCAACACTAACACACAACCAGCCTGAGGCTCTCTCAAACGCGATCCCCCCTCCACCCGTAGACCCTGGCTCTGTGCCTCCGCCCGCCCCTCTCAACCTACAGCCCCCGCCTCCCCCGCCCCCCGTCGAACCCGCACGTTCCGACACTGATTCTTCAGACGACGAAGAGCATCTACCATGGCACCCGCTTCAAGAAGACATGTCTTCGCCCGATGAAGACGAACTCAGGTACATCGAAGAGCGAGGCGAGCACAGTGCCTTGGACCACGAATATTGGGAGAAGGAGGCCTTCAAGCCGCTCGAAGATCCGGAATATACTGCTGGCGAGGCAGGCCGCATCCACTGGGCCATTGATGCCTACAACGGAACACGGGAGAAGCCCAATCATGAAATTCTCATGAGGTCCAATGTCGTCACCATTGGCGGACATCAGTGGCAGATCAAGTTCTATCCTAAGGGGAATGACTCCGAATACCTCAGTGTCTATCTGGAGTGCTTGAGTGTCATGGACCCAAAGGACAAGGACGACCAAGAAACTGGTAACGACGTCCCAACGCAAAACGTTAGTGAGCCAAAAGACGAGGAAAAGCCTGGCGACTCTGCGGTATCTACCGGAAATACGTCAGATTCCGTATCGGAGCCGCGCGAAAAGGCTGGATCAACGCCTACGGACGCGACGGCCCCACTTCCCCGAGTCGAATACCAGCATGCTCCACTACCGCTTCTTGGATCGAAAAAGGTGCCTAAACGCCACAGCGTGGCTGCGCAGATATGCGTTGTTCTGTACAACCCGACAGAGCCTCGCGTGAACTACTCGCGCAATGCTTTGCACCGCTTTTGCAGTGGTTCTCCAGACTGGGGCTGGACGCGATTCCACGGTCCTTATTTTGAGATACCTCGCCGCATGCACGGCCAGCGAATGGCACTACTCCGAGATGACAAGCTCGCATTTACCGCGTACATTCGCGTCGTCAATGATGAGACTGGCTGCTTGTGGGAGCACCCTATCCGAGATAACATCTGGGACAGCTTTGCCATGACTGGACTGCAGGGTCTTGCGCTTGGAGAAGACGCCAGTTCGCCAGGTGGGAACATGATCTCAGCGGTTGCAACATGGATGCTCTTCAAGCCTTTTCGGCAGTTCTTGTACAGCATAAACGTGCCAGATCCTAATGAAGAGCCATTGGTTCGCCCAAAGCCGCTTGTCACTGCATTCCAGCAAGTCCTGTACATGTTGCGAACCCAAGTGGATCCAGGAGCCGGCGCAGTCGCTCTCGACGACATCCTAGATGCCCTTGATTGGTATGGTATTCACGAAGGCCTCAATAAGCTAGATGTAATTGAGATGTGGGAAGTCCTACGGCTCAAGCTTGAAGAGGAGCTCCAGGACACGCCTCATCTGGCGAAGCTTCACGCCATCTGTGGGCCAAAGCGCGATCACTCGAGTAATGTGCCAAGTTATCGCGTCCCTGTCGTAGGCGTGGAGAGCATGCAGGAGGCTGTAAACAGGTCGAATGGCTTTACTGCTCCCGGGCAACCGCTACCGGAGCTGTTGACCATCGAGTTGGAGCGCCACGCATTCGACGGTGCAAAAACCCGTTCTCATATCAAGCTGCTCAACAAAGTCACGCTGGACGACAACATCACAGTCAACGGCACCAATTACACTTTATACGGATTTGTGGTTCATAAGCAGACCCTACAGTCGTACGTGTATCAGCCAATCATTCGACCAGAGGGCCCCGGATCCCGTTGGTACAGCTATTCGGACAGCAAGGAAGAAAACCAAGTGAGGTGCCTCCCCAAGCGCCTTGCAGTCGATTTGCATGAAGGAAAGCCTGGCACAGAACAGGTTGTTGGCAATGATCCAATCGCGTATATTGCAATGTATGTACGCGATGACGTAGCTCAGTCGGCTTTTGTGTCGGACGCCGAGTCTGAACAATGGCAAGTATCGGAGTGGATCAGGCTAGAAATAGAGAACAGAAAGAGTTCCAGAGGCCCTACACCGATACCAACGATGCCAATCGAGCAGTCGGTACCTGAAGCAAAGCCAACCGCTGAAGCAAAGCCGCCCAAGACATTGAAATTCCAGGTCATCGAATCCCGAGTGTTTCTCAAGCATGAAGGGCCTGGTCTCTTTGATGCTTTTGACTCAAAATGGGCAGACGCGAACTCGGAGTTCATTCATGCAGTCTCGTTTTCAGACCAAGATGGCTGCAAAGAGATCCGCGCCAAATTGATGGATACGCTCACGGGCGTCAAAGATCCACGACAAATCAAGTTCTGGTTCCTGGACCCAATGCGAGGATCACTCGGCAGGCCTAACCTTCTCGGTACTGGGAGGATAGAGTTCTCCGCTGGCAGCTACGACCAATACACTGACAGCAAGGAGTGGACGCTAGAGGAGTCCCCAGTCGCATATCGGAGGATATGGGTACACGTCACCGATTACGAAAAGCTTCCTGAGCTGCCCAAAGAAAAGGAAAATGAAGTGCCCGAACTACCTGCAAATGATTTGCCTTCGTCCTCAACTACTCAGGGACCTCCAGAGAATATGGTAATCCCGCAAGCGAATGGAAACACTGTTGAACAGCCGTCGAATTCACAGCCACCCCAACTACCTGCAAGGGTAGAAGACACGCCAATGAGCGAGGTAGAAGAGCCTGCTGTACCACAGATTGATCATTCCGAATTTCCTGTTGGACGCCACGAAGATCCATTGCCAACAGAGCCTGCTCAAACCGATGATACTGCTATGATCGAGGTAGAGTCAACTCCTGCGACCGATCCACCAGCTGTCGACGTGGTCATCCCGAGTTCAATGCCTGATGATACAGAGATGGGTGGCACGCAGGAGGAAGTACCGCCTCCTCCACCACCACCACCAATGGACCTTTCCACTGAGCATGTACAGCCACCTCCACCAGCCCGTACCCCTTCGCCCAAGCCACCAGCAGACGAGATCTATTTCTTCCTCAAGTTTTGGAACCCAGAAAAGCAGGCTCTGGAATCCAAGGGCTCTCACGTCACTCTCAAGTCCCACAGGGTTGATGAGACAATTGTTGCCCTACTCGGACTTCCGGTAGAAGAGAAGAAGAAGCTGGAAATATGGGAAGAAGAGGATATTGGCACTACACGCGCTCTTCGGCACCGTCGCACGTTTACGCAACTTGATCTTCATAACACGAGCATCATCATTGCCGCTATGCCTATCAGCGCTGAACAAAAGGGCGCTCTCGCAGCCCGTGCTGCGTTTGCGGAACCTCAAGCATATTTGAAATTCCGCTCTTTTGCTCGAAACTTTCCTCACAAGCTCAACGGCCACTTTACATACAATTACTTCTCGAGTGAATGCTACAAGGGCGAGATTGTCAACGGCTATCGTCATGGTCACGGAACTCTCATATATCACTCTGGCGCCGTCTACAATGGCTCCTTCCGTCTAAACCAACGCCACGGTCACGGATTGTACACTTTCCAGAACGGCGATACGTATGATGGCGATTGGGTTGACGACCAGCAACACGGTACCGGCACGTACGTCGAGGCGACGAGCGGCAATACGTATGTTGGTGGATGGCAAAACGACAAGAAATTTGGCGAAGGCGTTACGCACTGGAAGAATGCCCAAGAGGCCGAACGGCTTTGTAGAATTTGTTGGGACGGGGATGCTGAGGCTGCCTTTTACGACTGTGGACACGTCGTAGCTTGTCTTCCTTGCGCAAGGGAGGTACAAAGTTGTCCCGTCTGCAGGAAGAGGGTGCTAAGCGCCATGAAGCTTTACTATGTGGTGTGAACAGCGAACACCATCTTGCAAAGTTGTGTGGTTAGAGGGTTTTACTACTTTTTCCCCTTTTTGGAGTTTGGGGTTCGTTCAGGTTCAAGACAGAACTATTGGCCTCTTGAGCACTAAGATGGCTCAGAGGAGGGGATTTGGATATCAGTGAGCAAGGGGCGTTGGGTTATCTTTTTCTCTCTTTTAGCACTCTCATTTTACCTATTCTTTCTACCTATTTACACTCACAGTGCTACACTGCACTATTTTGTATATTCTAGTCAGGATGCTTGGGGAGTAAAAGGTCAAAGTCTGGGCACTGCGACCTGTGAGAACGGTCTACTTTTGGTCAATACATACATTTACATTCGACCTGATTCGAATTGTTATGGAAATATCCAAGTGTCCACATATTGGTGAAGAAGAAAGTTATGTATGAGCCCCTGGAAGCCTTGCAAATATTTTTCAAGCAACCAAGTCCAAAATTAATTACACTATCAACCCACATATCTACACAGTATGCAAAACAATCTCGGTCCGCCCAGTGCCCAACTCCACCACACCACCCTCGTCCTGCTTTGCATCCACCTTCCACCCCTTGGGCACCCTCACCTCAGCCTTGATCCCCTCAGGAACCTCAATCTCAACCTTGGCCTCACCCCCCTCAACCGTCCACGCGACCTCCAGCGAGCCAAACGGCGTCGGAACCCTTCCTGTTACCTGGTCCAAGCCAAGATACGCGACGGCAGGCTGGACCACGACGCTCGCATACCCCGGCGTCACGGGTGTAACACCCAGCAAATACTCTGGCAGCACATACGTCGGGGCCGCCCCCCAGGGGTGCGCCAAACTGGTAAACGCCGAAATGCCGGGCCGTCCATCGGGCGTCACGTACTCCCAGCTCGCGCCGGTGGCATAGCGGTCATCATTTATCATAGTTGCCCAGAGGCCATCCATCAGATGCGCAATGGGCGCTTTCGCGGCATCAACGCCGTGCGCGGTTTGCGCCTGGAAAAGGGCTTCGAGGAGGAAGCCCGAAGGGTTGGGTGCGAGTTGGTAGTCTGGTGTTTCTTGGTCGGAAGAAATGGTCTTGTAGCCTGGGCCGAAGCGGAGGCGTTCGAGCTGTGCGATGGAAGAGGTGATTTGAGATGTGTTTGCGGCGCCGCTGAGGATGGACCATGCGATTCCTGTCAGGGAGAAGTTGCCGGGGGAGGAGAGGCCGAGCGAGTAGGTGCCGAGCTCGGGGTTCCAGAGGTGTGTGTTTAGCGCGGCGTTGAGGGAGTGGGCCGTGGTGTTGGCGAGCGAGGCCGTTGCCGTGTCTTGCAAGGCGAGGGCTAGGGGAACGATTCGTTGGAGGGCAAAGGACATGAGACCTGTTACTGCAGTGCCGTTTGCGGGGCCAAGGAAGGAGACTGGGTTTGGAGCGGCAGTGCTTCCGGCTACGAGACCGGTGGTTGGGTCTATGTAGGTGAGACGGGTTTGGAAGAGTGCTTTGATATTTTCCCAGTACGGCTCTAGACCCTTTGCATCGCCTGTGTAGCGGTAGTATTCGCCGATTGAGGCGAGGAAGAGGTCTTGGTAGTCGTTGAGACCGGGTCCTACTGGGTCTGCGTCCGAGTATTCTGGTCGCGTGCCTAGTCGTGCGGATATGGGCACGAAACCGGCGAAGGGCCCGGACTTCCCCTGGTAGCTGAAGACGTAATCGATGGTTCCGAGGATGTAGTCCCAACGTGCGCTCGACTGAGCCAGTACGCGGACGGTGTGGTAGAAATCTCCGATCCAGACTAGACGGTCGCGCTTTGCGCCATCCAGACAGACGGAGTGGGAGAGCGGTGCTACGGCGTACTCGGCCAGGGCACTAGGAGATTTCATGTCGTTGGTGTAGATAATGGTCTTGTTGGATGCAGCGACTGATACATTTGAGACGACGGAGATTTGGTCTTGGAAGCCTCCGAAACCCCATGTGCCTTCATACCGAGATGCTGTGCTGAAGATAACAGGAGGTGAAATTGGCGGTGGAAGTGGGACGAAAGCAATGTCCTCTCCGTTGATACTGATGCTATACCCATCCTCTTTGATAGCGGTAACGACGTGGTACCACTTGTTCTCCTCTACAGAGATGTTCAGAGGATAATATTGGTTCGCGGGCGTTTCTAGATTAGACTGGTTGAGCAAGTTCCACCCGGCGTTGACAATCAGAGTGTTGGGCGGGACAAGCGTTCTGTTCGTGTTTACAAACGTGTTTTGCTCTGGATAGTTGGAAGTCAGGACAAAATACGGTCCAAGTGGTTGGATCGCGCTGGCTACACGCCACCCTGTTCCGCCTCTTACAATCTTTGTATCAAACTCTAATGTGTAGTTGGCAGCGCCCATTATTGTTCCGATAGAAGATTGAGCACTGGCCTGACCGCGAATGAACGCTCCCTCGTCGGTTAGCTCCCAGGTTGAAGGCGCATTGCCGGCATCCACGCAAGCCGCTTGGACGACTTGTCCACCAAGATCAAAGATTTTGTTGTAAACGTCGTGACTGGTCTTTAGGTGGCCTGGTTGTTGGTCCACATCTTTGTGCTCGCTCGTTGCCCGCAAGCCAACGCTCTCGAGGGTTAAGGAATGATTCGTAAGCAGGCGGATGGTCTGCCATCGCTGTCCACCTTGCACAAAGAAGCTCTCAGTGTGACCTCCACTGGTGATGTTGAATGTCTCAACCCGCCAAGTGTTTGATAGGCCGTTGGAAAAAGTCCATGGTCCATCAGCGTTTTCGTCGGCGAGGTATGCAAAGGCCTCTGAGTAGGCGGCCTCAATCTGTGCCGGGGATGCGCCTTCTGCAACGACAAAGAACGGGAAGCCGGCAACCTCGGTACCGTAATCGAGCGTGAGGACGGGATGCGCAGGCGACAGCGTTATTGTGGTAGTATTGTCGTAACTCAGATCAGCTACTTGAACATCTCCGCTCAGCGAGTATTTCCTTGGATAGACATTGCCATAGTCGACGAATCTATGCTTTCATGTTAGTTGGTAGTAACGCGAGTGCTTTTCCTGGAATTTCTTACCCATAGACAGTCCGACCCCAAGCACAAACACCTAGTAGGTATATATTGAGGTTGACCATCATGGAAATCTGCTCCAGAATCCAAGTGCTGGCTGGTACCAGGAGCGAGTCCTCAGGCGCTTTTTAACATAATGTTTATCCCTGTAAACAAGCCATCGGGCCTTTGCGCGACGTCGAATGCCCGACGGTGGGCACAATGTCTATTGGATAAGGATACCCCACACATGCACTCCGCATCTACCGATCGCACTACGGGATCCCCAGATTTCTAGATTTGGACTACTTCGTTGGTTGCATGATGCCGTCATGTACGCTTAAGGGAGCTGTACTTAAGAAAATTTACACACTTCGCTTTGATGTTCTACCGAGGTCGCATTGAATAGGTCCGATAATCAATGTTCATTGGTGCCACAAAGCCTTAGGGTGTACCTGGACCCGGGGACTTCGGCGGTTGTGGCTAGAGCGATGAACATGTAATGGTCAAAGTGGATGTAAGATGCGGAGACAAAACTGGGCGCAAAGACGGAATGTGGAGAGCAGACCCGGTAGAAGCCGGGAGTTAAAGAAGGAAAATGGTTTTATGAGGAAATCAACAATAGCTAATCTCGGAGTTGATTGGATTAATCTCAATTACGCAGCAAGACCCTGTCGGAACTTCAGATATTCCTTTCGGTACTGGTTCTCATCTGTCTCTTTGCCTCTGTTGAGTGGCGTCCACTTGGGCTCATCTTTGAACAATCGCATAGCTTTGGTGTACTGTAATGCGAAATCAGCACTGCACTTTTTTTTTGATGCCAAAGGTGCCGTATTTCCAACTTACGTTGTTCTCATCAGTGGTGAAGCGATGATAGATGCCACTCGGCAAGATGATCAAATCACCCTTCTCAAGCCAAATCCTGACCCAATCGTCGCCCTCACTCCTGACATCAAAATAACCGGCACCATCAAGAATGTAGCGAATCTCCTCGTCCTCATGCAGGTGCTCACTGAAGAAAGTTTTCACTTTTTCCTCGTAAATGTCCCCCATCTTCTCGGGGCTGATCGTAACCTCATCCCGGTTCTTGTAGTTGCGAGATGTAGCAATCTCGTCAACGCCAGACACTTCGGGGACATGGTAGTAGACGACGCCTAGTTTCTGCAGATAGTCTGGGTCAACCGAGCGACCAGAGTCGTGAGGTAGGCGTTGGTCGCCCTGGCGAAGTAAGTCGTGTGTTTAGGTTGTGGAGGACGGAACAGTACGAACTTACTTCAAGGTTATCGAACCAGTATGCCTTCATTTTGCAGTCAACAGCAGTATAGAAGATTATGGCTATTCTGAAGTGTGCAGTGTGTAGTAGCGTGCAGCTTTGGTTGGCTTTGATATTGTTGGGCTCGCCGGCAAACAGCGAGGAATAATTTGAGATGCCCAATTGCACGTGGCGAATGGCGTCATTCCGATTACCCAGCGACAATCGGCTAGCCAACCCAACATTGCGCAACATCAACCCTTCACTACACAGCGCTCTTCCTGCAAATTACCCTTCGTCAATGTCGTTTCATGCGGACTACAATACAGCCTGTTGCCAGGAGATGCCATTACAGCACCGGGTTATTGTCCTGTCATATAATACAAAGTATAAAAGGATAACGTGAATGCGTCGACGCATACCCGTCCCATCACTTGCCCGAGTACGCAATTCGAGCTCTCTTGTGAGGTGAGCACAAGAAACATCGACTGAGATGCACACGCACCGAAACGAAAAAAAAACAATTACCATGACCCCATACATTTCCCATCATTCATGCTGTCCACTTCGATTCCAGCCCGTTGCATGATGATGCTATAAAGGGATAAAAATCCCAGGGTATGTCCAACTAAAAATGCCAATAGTTCACGCGAAATGATGAAGGTTCAATTATGCGAGGTGAAGTCATAGTTACTAGGTCCACAAGAGGCTATCTTGCAAAGACCTTTACTATGCCGTCTCCACCTGCCGAGACAACGAGACGGCCGTCCTGACTCCAGACGACACTGCACACGCCTTCGCCGCGCATAATGCGATGTGCAGTGATTTCTTGGGTACAAATACGCTTGTCGAGTGACCAGAAGCGGATTGAAGCGTCGTGGCCAGCAGAAACAGCTTCGCGGCCATCTTTGCTGAGAGAAAGAGAAGAGATGGCAGCAGGGTGCGCGAGCATGCTGTATGTACATTGGCCTATAACGGACATTAGAGAGGGTGTCTTGGTAAACAATTGGGGTGAACGTACCAGAGTTGGCATCGAAGAATCTAATGAGATGATCTTCGTGCCCACTTATAATGACGCCTTCAAGGCCTCCGCTGCTGTTTGATCCGGTTGGACCATGTATCCCTTCTTCCTCAGAACTGCCACGGCCTCCTTCCTGTGATGGACCTTCGAGGTATTGGGAGCTCGTCACGACAGAGGTAATACCAGTCGCTGGTGTGCCATCGTAGGATTCGTTACTGGCCATACCGATCAACTCTTCGCCTGTTCTTGTGTCGTATACTAGTATCGATGCATCAGTAAAAGAAACAACAAAATTCTCTCCAGTGGGGGAGAGCGGGCTGATGCATGTAGGCGAGGGGTGCGTGTCGCGCTCAATAGTGTGAATGAGCATGTAATGGAATGGTGTACTGGTAGCAATGCTTGGCTGTGGCGATGATGGGTGGTTCGATCCAGAAGTAACAGAGTGCCTTCGACTACCACCAACACCGCGACGTGACCCAGTCTGAGGCGACACTAACTGGGGCGGCGCACTGACTGCCCAAATCTTGATGGTTCCGTCCGCAGAGCCAGAAGCCAGTATCACTCGGTCTGCGCCGCCGTATTTACTGCTGTCGGCTCCGAAAACATTTCCGCAAGTGGTTGGGAGAACACACACTGTCCAAACAGCGTCGGTGTGACCTTCCAGGGTAGCTTTTGGATCGACACGGCCTCGTTCCCACACGCGAACTGTCGCGTCCTGGCCACCCGAGAATATCCAGCCGTCGCCCGATACCCTGCCACCAGTTGCAAAATGAGCAGAAGCGGGGCAAGCAGCCAGGGATGTTACAGCACCCTCATGACCTCTGTGCGACCAGAAGGGTTGAATATCCAGATCATTGTTCATGGTGTGCTGACTCGCATAACTTGCAGGTATCATCCATCTCTTAATCATGCCATCGTCTCCCGCTGTGCAAATTTCTGGTTCACTGGGACTGCCGCCTCCCGTGAAGATGACGGACCGTACGACATCCAGATGACCACGGAGGGCAAATCGGACCTTGAAACTTTGCGGATCCGCTTTTGAGGCTGCTTGGGCAGCCACTTGTTGAGCCTTGTGATCACTGCTCAGTCGTCTAGTGTGATCTTTACTCGTTCTTTTGGCTGGCCGGGGCGGAGATTTTGCAGGAATGCTATTTGCGGATGGGAACTCCTCGACATCTGGTCTCCTTGGTGGCCCTTCCTGGGCTACATCGGACGCAGGGTCAAAAATCCACTCGTCTGACTCTTTTTCCTGAGCTGGCGCCTGATTTGCTCCTGCAGCATCTTCCTCCTGGCCTGATATTTGCCTGCCTGAGTTGTCAAAAGCGTGGGTCACCTTCTCGACCTGCTCATCAGGCACGGAAGAATAGTGTTGCTGGTTTGGGGGTTGACGTTGCTGTCCAGAAAGGTCCTGGGTCAAACTTGGGTTCTGAACGAGTGGCTGTTGCTGGGAAGGCTCTCGAGCCATCTGCGGGGCATGGTGGATCTGGTGCTGGGGGGGCAGGTTCTGTAGTTCAGAAGTGACGGGGATGTTAGGGGGCTGGTAGTTGGGCAGGGGTCCGGGCATGGTGGGGAGATGCGACTGCAGCCTCTGACGATGTTGTTGCAGGTAGATGTCTTCCATAGAGGCATCTCCATGACCCATGAATCCAGTGCCGTTTGCGAGGGCTTGCATGCCCTGTTGTTGGGGCTGAGGTTGAGGCGGGGGAGTAAGGAGATATGTAATCTCTTCAACGCATTTTGTGAGATAGAGCTTCGACTTTTCCCGCAAACCATCGCGATCGGCCTCGGAACGGTCGAGGAACTCGGAATCGACGTCGAGGAAGGAGTTGTGCTTGGTGTTCTGGGCTGTGTTGACATGTCAGTATACCAGGGGCCTGCCATGACATGTTTATTGTGTACGCACGTTTGGTCAGGCCGGCGCCAGTCTTCTTGCCCTTGGGGTCGGTCTTGTCGTCGGGAGCATCGCCGCCTGCAGCGTGGGCCTTGTTTTTCCTCTCGTTGGTGAGGGCCTGCTCGAGCATGCGGATGTGCTTGTTGAGTTGGTCGTTGAGCTTCTTTGCACTGCGGACCTCGCCCTCCTGCTTTGCAATCTTGGCCTTCATTTCTGCGCGCTCAATGTCCCATGCATTGCGGGCACGCTCGTGGTTGTGCCATTCGAGCTGGAGAAATCGCATAACACCTGGCCGTTGGGTTAGCCCACTACTGTCCCGCCGGCAGAGCGCTACTAGTCGAGGATAAAAGAAGACAGCATACCCTGCAGAGTGTATTCGGTGCCGGCGGGCGCATTCCCGTCGGCGCCTCCATTGGCACCGCTGCCGTTCATGGCCGAGGGCGACTGCCAGGCCATGAGATGGGTATGGAAATCCTGTGGCGGCGCACTGAGCAGTCTGTGAGGGTCAGAGCTGATGTTGGCATGCGGCGTCGGGGGTCGGCAACTGCGCGGTCGACGTGTCGCTAACAGAGAATCTCTCCCACTTCAGGGCGCAAGTGGGGGTAGGGAGGTGGAGGGGGGATGAGGCTGGAGCTGGAGCCGGGAAGAGCAGTGAATATGGCGTGGATGCGCTCAAGCAGCTGGCTTGGAGAGCTGCAGCAACATGCACATGGCGATTCCGTTGCACAGGGGAGGGTGCCATGCAGTGGTAAGGTAGCGCCGGGGCGGGACCCTGGCGCACGGGCCCCATCACCAACGCTGCGAACAGATGGAGCGTCTTCACAATGCTGCCAACAGGCACAATGCTCCCATTGCACACGTCCGGCTTGGGCATGTTGCCTATCCACCCAGCAGTGTCACAGTAGCTATTTTGAGTCTTCTTGTTACCATTTTACTCGACCTGCCTCCGTCAACGCCCTATACATCAGCCATGAGCTGTCTGCGCAAACTCACGCCTGTCCCAAACCGGCACTTGGATATACTGGCTAACATGTCCATGGCACAATTCCAGCCAGCTCGATTCACTTGTGAGGTCTCTTTTCTCATTCTTTCTGTCCCTCATCCCATCTCCTTTCTTACTTGTGTCGTCTCCTGTCCAAGCTTCACCAATTTTCCTTTCTCATCTGTGCATTTTGTACACATGCTACGTCTCTCAACACAGCATACACACTGTACCCCCTCAATTAACGGTCCTCGAATCTGACCAAATAACTGACATGCTACCCAGCCATTTGTTGATACAAGATGACCTAAACCTTCCAGTAAGCTTGTGCGGCGATCAGCCCAGAACAGGAAGACACTTTGAGCTCAAGCCTTGAGTGCGAGCAGTATTCAGCACTTGCATATCCAGCACTTGCATGTTACATACTGCTCGCCGGTGCACCGGCTTCTGCGTTTCTCCATTCATTGACTGGTCATCGCTTGGTTCTGTTTCAGTGCTCTCTGGTCGCAACTAGCATTGTACTGGGTATTGCACGACGAGCCGGCCCAGCGCATGCACACCAGCCACCAGCCACCAGCCACCCACCCCCAACCACGGCTAACAGGCATTATGTCACACACAAATCACCGAAAGAGACAGGGTAGCATCCATCTTACTGTGGCACAGGCGACTATTTCACGCGCAGTCCTGTGATCAGATACCAGGGCTTGACTTTCGCTCATGCCAAGTGGAGCCTTCCCGATTGGTACAAAGGCAGTCGACGCTACGACCTTGTCACAACATTGGAACCTTCCCAGGCAAGACTTTACCACATTCACCCCACCCCCCGCCAACCACCACGACATCGAATCCACCTCCAGACTCCCCCAACCGGGTCGCGCACATTCGTACATACTATTGATCCCAATATAGCCCTAAGATAAATCTCCAGACATGGCTGGCGGTGGTAAAGGTACGCGCTGACTTGCCGCGCGCCCTGCAACATCGCAATGGGCTGACAAAGATGCACAGGAAAGACAGGAGGCAAGACTGGTGGAAAGGGCGATTCGCAAGTCAAGACTCCAAAATCGCACTCCGCCAAAGCCGGTCTTCAAGTGAGTTGATGCCCTATACGCGTCATCGCCCGACGACACCCCGCCCATACTTTGACAGCTTGCGCACAGGGACGACGCGCTAACATGACTCCTCCTCTACAGTTCCCTTGCGGTCGCATAAAGCGTCACCTCCGAAATCTCACGCGCCAGAAGACGCGCATCGGCGCCAAAGCCAGCATCTATCTGACTGCCGTACTTGAATACCTGACTGCTGAGGTTCTCGAGCTTGCAGGCAATGCCGCCAAGGATCTCAAGGTCAAGCGCATCACGCCACGCCATCTCCAGCTCGCCATCCGAGGTGATGAAGAACTCGATACGCTTATCCGTGCCACCATTGCCTTTGGAGGTGTTCTGCCGCATATCAACCGTGCACTATTGCTCAAGGTAGAGCAAAAGAAGAAGAGCGGAGGTGCTGCCAAGGTCGGCGAGGCGTAGAGGGCTAATTGTTCCGGAAGCGTGCAGGCAAAAGATGTCAAATGGGCGGCTAAGCGAATCGATTTTCGAGCTTGCAGAGCATGCGACAGACCCTCGAATCACAAGAACCCCAAACCACCTGCAGTTTTGCTTGGCTTCTATGAGCTATTTTACCCCGAAAGTCGCACTTCTTTTGCTGAGATTTCGAAATGTCAGGATAAGAGTGTCAACTGTCTTTGGTTAGGCGTGCGCAGGAGCGGTGTTGATGGTCATGGCCTTTTTTTTTCTTTATCATTTCGTGGTATGTAGTAACACGTTCGAGTCAATGTCACACAATAGCAGGGAGAGTCGGTTTGGTTTGCCTCTACAATCATGAAAGCTCCGTCTTCCCAACGGAAAGCGATCAAACCGCAGAGACTTCAATCACACAAGCGTGCAAGCGAATGCCATGCTGCCCAAGCAAACAAACGATAACACACTATCAAAGCTTGCAGTTCCGGGTCGTGGCAGCAATCACGAGTCCAGTCGAATTCCGAGATTGGGTAGCACGAATATGTATCATTCCGATATTTCGTTTCTCAAGTCAAACGGCAGTGCATGATTCCGAGACGGAAGAAAAGGATATTAAGCGCAGCAGTCCACGTCAAGTTCGTGAATATCCCATGTTCTTTCCTCTGCATCTCTTCTGTTCTTTCTGTATGAAGGATTGAATTAGCTTTTCCAAACGAGCGCTTTTATCTCCCTCGCCCGCCTTGATAGACTCTGGATAGCAACCCAAAAAAAGGACACAATGTTCGATCACTTATTCGACCCCGATGCCTTCCACCGTCACCCCATCCCACCAGCCTTCTCACGCACAAATTACATTGTATCAGGTGCATCTCGCGTACAACTCCCCTCGTACATTAGAGACCATCGACACGCCCACCCAATGACACCTCACCAGCACCACCATCATCACCCGAGCCCGGCCCGCCGCTACTCAATCTACGCAGACCCCTCACCTACCTCCTCAGACTTTGATCAAACAGAAGACACCTACCTGCAATCCGAATCCGACTCGAGTCTCACCCACGTAAAGCACTCACCCCCCAGAAACGCCAACGCCAACAACGCCAATAACACCAACAATGTCATTCCCCCTCTCCACCGCACGTCTTTCAAATTGCCCCATACAACATTCGCTAACCTCCCATCCACCCACACTTCCTCCTCCATCCTCATCTTACCCCCTACCCTAACACCCCTGCACATCCGCATCGACACCCCCTCGTCTACACACCAGCTGCGCGCCACCGTGGCAGGCGATATGCGCTTCCGGGATGTAGTAAGCCAGCTGGTGCGACAGGGGCAGTATGCGGACGTGAGGGCGAGTGTAAGGTTGAGGGGGGAATGGCAGGAGCCTGGGTCTAGTGTGAGGATTAGTGAGGTGGTGCGGCAGTATGCGGTGAATGAGCGAGGGGAAGTGGATGTTAGGATTGAGGTTGGGCGTGGAGGAGTGGGAGGAGGAGGAGGAGAAGGAGGGCGAGAGGGACGAAGAGGGGGTGGGTATGTTGGGGGAACACGGGGTTTTAGGGCTTGGGAGAGGGAGACGGGGCGCGCGTGGGAGATTAGGGATTGAGTTTTTTCTTTTTTTTCTTTGCTGTTTTCTTTTCGGTGATGACATAGGTAATATAGAAAATAGGTATTAATCAAGTTGAGTTTTCCATTCTAAAGTTTAAACATTCCTAATACATCAATCAATTCGCTCCTCTTTTTACTCCACTATCTTGGACGTCATGGCTCGCTGCCTTTGCCCGGAACGCCAAGCCTAATCTAATGTGTTAAATGGTGTAGGTAACATGCCCAAGGGCACAAGAGGTACATGAAAATACCCAAAGAAATCAAAACTCCCTTCTCAGTCAAGTACCGAGTTAGGAGTGAAAAAAGCTATGCTCTGCATCCGAAACCATGCAAAATGCCACAAATAAAGGACCCAGAGTCATTTTCCTTCATGTCTGATAGTATTCGTCATGCTCCTTTAACGGCCTTTATGACTTCAGGCTGTCCTGCATGCTCCTGCTGCTGGCGCTGAGTGGAATGTTGCTAGTGGGGAGGACTGTCTTGGGCTGGCTGTTCTGTCGGATCTTGGCTAGCGCGTAAACCAGACCACTGACGAAACCGACAAAAATGGCAGAAACACTGCCAAAGGTGACGGGCGCATCGAAGAAGATGAGACCGCTGAGAGCAATGGGGAGCTTGTTCAGAGCGCCAACCATAGAGTATGTAGTAGAAGAGGTGACACGGACAGCCCAGGCGGAAGTGTATGAGATGAAGACTGTGGAGAGACCGGATACGACCATGACGGTGATGACGGTGTTGCGCTGGTTAGGAGGGAAGTTCTTCTGGATGTTCGCGGAGGACCAGTCTTCGACGAGGATCGAGGCAACCAACAGGATCGGAATGGTGAGGAGGTTGTTGTAGTACATGGCTGTTTAGAATTAGCATACTGCCCATGGTAGTGGACAAGAATAAACTCACTGTCAAAGTCCTTGAAGTTGGTGAGCTTGATGCGCTTGCGCATACCCAAAACATAAGTAGCCGTGCACAAGCAGTTGAACATCATCCAGAGGTAGCCAGCGTGCAGAGTGGACATGGCGTCCGTGGATGCGCTTGTAGACTGTCCCATGCTCGACAAAGCGTGCTGAATGTCTGCCCAGGCCGCGATGACGGAGCTGAAGACCATCAATCCGAAAGAAAAGAGCGCCATTGGCGTGACAGCACCACCGAACCAGAGAACCTCTCCGTATGCGATCAGAATGATGGTAAGGTTCTTGAAAATGGTGTAGACGGGAATCGAGAGGAACTTGAGGGCCCAGGTACTCGTGTAGATCATACCGATGAGAAGAAGAGAGATGGGAAACCCTGCTGTTGTTAGACCAAATTTGTGCTGCGGAGTGTGACAGACGTACATTTCTTTGCTTCATCGCTGTTGAAGTCGCGGTATGTGATGATGCCAGCGCTCTTGCATATCGAAATTGCTGCAACGCAGACGATAGACTGTTGTATATTAAAAAGGGTCCGTCTTGTGGGCTACGAAGCCGACATACCTGTACGCAGAGAAGGAAGAAAGGGAGGTTGAAGTCGACGCCAGAGAGGACGTATTTGTTCGTAACGGTCATCAGAATGGAGGAACCACAGTAGGCCAAGATGGCAGCGACTGGGTTCTCCGTTATGGACGTGGGCCCGCCCCGATGTGAATTGGACGCGCGAGGCAGCGGGGAGGGCGCGCGGAACTCCTTGCCCGAGGGCATGTCGACTCTGTAGTCGTCGCTCTTCTTGTCGTCGGACATTGTGAGAGAGAAGAAATGTGTTCACAGTAATCGGAGGTGCTATGCGGCAACGACAGGAAGTCCAGCGATAAGGACAGACAGCTATGTGGCGGCGACGGTGCGACCCAAGAAAGTGAGGTTGTTGAGGGGGGGAAGGAAAGAAGCAAAGAGAGAACAGGAGGGTGAGACTAGGAGGAAGAAGGCGAGCGTTACCAAAAGGATGCGCAGGGACGCGAATGGGGTGGGTCACAGCGATGCAGTCTCCCCTGGTTTGGAGTCGTTGGCTTGCAGCGGTGGTAATTTCAAATGCCACTAAACCGCCTTGGAACACGAGAAAACGGTATGTACATGTCAGCACCGCAACCTGTACTCGGGCGTGCATCCGGTTGTATTTTTGACCTCAGAAATTTATTGTACCGTGCAGCTATGATGCAACATTGGTCGTGTGAAGAGTGCATCGCGTTTTCAGCAAATACTGGCCTCACTGAGGTACTTGAATACATGGACGGATGATCTTCACTAGGGCTCTTTATCGCCACGTGACTGTCCCTATCGCACCGCTACTTTCTTTCCCCTGATTAACCACTCAACAAGTGACCTGGGCAATTTCCGAAATGGCGTCTCTAGACCCGAAAGTCGCTTCACTCGTCGACAAGGCTGCACGAGAGGATGATTCGGACGAGGATGCACTCATCGCCTCTCTGGAAGATGACGAGGCGTTAGATGCGTTCCGCGAGCAACGACTTCAACAATTGCATCAAGAGTACGACAAGGCGCGACGATTGAAGGAGAGCGACCATGGAAGATACTCCGAGATTAAAGACGAGAAGGTTTTGATGGATATCACAACAAGCACTAAACTGTGTGTGGTGCACTTCTTCAAGCCCGACTTCAACCGCTGCCGCATCATGGATACTCATCTCGAGGTAAAAACACTTCTTATTACAACAAGGCTGCTTGCTAAAATTAAATAGTCACTAGCCCCCTCCCACTATGAGGCCCGATTTCTCAGGATTAACGTTGATAATTGTCCTTTTCTTGTCACTCGTCTAGGCATCCAGGTCTTGCCATGTGTCATTGCCTTTATTGACGGTGTAGGAGCTGATCGCATTATTGGATTCGAGGGGCTTGGTCACACTGAGCAAACATTTACGACTCGCGATCTGGAGGCCAGACTTATCCGAGCAAACGTACTCGCAAGAAACAAGGTCAACGAGGAGGATGAGAGGCAACGGCTACAGCGAAGCAAAGCAAAGGAGCAAGAAGACGAGGACGAAGACTGGGATTGAGTAGCCACAATGTTGAGTCACGTGGTCATATGTAGCTGGAAGCTGGAAGCTAAGACGATGCGAGGCAGTGGACCCTCTCACAGCAGGAGGATCCCGAGTTTTTATTTGCTGCTCAGCATATAGTGCAGGGAAGGGCCATAGCAGAAGTTTGCAATCAAGCTTCCAACAAGCAAAGCTCTCATATGCTTGCCGTTAAGGGCACCAGCTACTTAATCGCATCCAGCAGTAACAGCCCATATACCAATCACGATACAGCAAGATAAACAACTTTCGGTTCTATTTGGCGCAACAAGTGAAGTGTCACTGATAACGTGGTTGAGATTGCACTAAAAAAACACCTGCTTGCGTAGTGGGTGACTGAGTATTAAGTCAGTACAAAATCCTAGGGCAACTCTGATTGGTTGTCATCAGACCACATGCACATGCGCTGAATGACTTTCCAAATGGGAGTTAGTCTATGAGTACAAGCAAGGTCGTGCGCCATGAAACCATGAAATCATGAAACTGCGGAGTTCACGCGGGAGATCTGTGCATCTACACTTTTCAGCCCCAGGACCACGAGGGCACCGAAGTAATTAACGGGGACCTTGTTGAGTCTCTGATCTGCGTCACGTCAAAACAATCTCAACTTCCCCCAAACCAACAGTGATTAATGCAGTGTCCTCGCTTTGCTTCTGCTCCCAAACTGGTTTTGAGGGCCGCCATGGGACGACAGCTGTGCTGAAGCTCTCTTCGCTGCCAACGACCTGTGGGGGTTACCCAAACGCTGATCTGAGAGCCTTGAGTTGCAATGCAGCGGCGGATAAACCATCGAACGTTGTGTACGACTAATCAGGGTCAACCGGATACCAGTTATAACTACGGAAACATGTAAACGGCATGTATCGTATTGGGTGGATATGATCAAGATGGAAATAAGAGCTTTCGTAAAGGCTAACAAACGAGCACAATGGTCGTCGTAGTAACTCTTGTGATTATGGATTCACCGTGGAGTTGGGTAGATTGACGAATCCTTTCGTGTAGTAATCGTATGCGTGCTTGTCTTTTCTTTTTCGCCGTGGGTTTAGCATCCCCGCGTGACTTGTAAGTGGATCGCTTGGTGCTTACTTTGTATTGCATATTCGATGCGGAGGATGGCTTGTGACGTTCCAGGTATGAAACCTGGGGCTAGTTTCGATGCCAGCCAGTCTGGCCAGTATCCGACCCAAGCCGAGTGCACTGTGTAGTATTGGTTCCGCTCCTGCGCCGCGGCGGTGGTTGAAGAGCTCACCCACCCCCACGCAAGATTGGGTGCAAGGCTGATGTATTGGATGCGAAAGGAGGGCGGCCTCAACGGTGCATCATTGCAACAAATGAGGCTAAATACAGGCTGGACGAGAGCGAATCACAGTATTGTGCCGAAGGTCGGCTAGCGAAGAGACTCGGTACAAGTCCCGCGCGGCGATTCGGCGTGGTTGGTGTAATGGCTTCGCGTCGGGGCGGCATTGTCGGGTGGTGCTTGACTGGGAATCGTGCATTACAGCTTGCGGGCCCCGCCATGGCAGCTAGCTTACCAATGCAGCCCAGTTGGCGTGGATACGCAAGGAGGGGCCGGAGGAATGTGACGATCTGAATTGCAAGTGGCCAAGAAGGCGAGACACGCAGGCGCACCCTAGTTTGTGTATACTCTAAATCGTATCTGCATGTGGTGGTGAGGGTGCAGGTGGTAGGGTGCAGTGGTGGACTCGGACAGCTTTGCTCGATAGCGGGGTAGGTCGCCCGCATGACGACGGCGCGACTGGAAGCTCAACGCAACGCAGCGCAGCGCAGCGCAACGCAGGGAGGGCTCGCACAAACATGGCCCAGCACTTGGACGCTGGCCAGCCATGCACAATCTGTCGTGCTCCATCTGGTGACGGATGTCCGAAGCGGTCCAAGGCCACGGTAGCCTTGTCCGCGACAGGACTCGCCGAGTTTGGGCCAGCCTCTTCCGCAGGCGGCGGCTTGGTGGGCTGGCGTGGCCCGGAGGTGCGTTGCGAGAGATGCGGCGGCTTAGTGATTGTGCCAAATAGCCCGGATGTTGACTGATGGCCCATGGCCCTTTTGAACCACGCCAGACGGCACTGAGACGCCTAGGTGGGCAGGCCGAGTGTGTCTGTGTCTGTCAGTGAGGGTACCATCATATCCCCCGGCGTCTGAGCGGCAAATTGGGGCTAAAACGTCACCACCACGAGGGCCTGTAAACCGCTAGAGCACGTCCGATAACCCCACCAGTCGCTGGAGCTTTTCTTTCCACTCACCACGCCCTACCCGTGCCTTCTCTTCTTCCCCCAAGATCCCCCTTCCCCCTCTGACTCTCATTGCCCACTACAGCCCTTAATTGAGCTGTCACCTCGCGACCGCGCCTCCCGCAGAGCGATTGCACACCGAACCACCCTTTCACCATGGCCGACACACTTATCCAGCCTCAACACGAGGTGGTCAATGCCGGGTAGGTAGCTTCACCCGTCTTCACACCTTATGGCCCACCGCTTGCAAGCAGCCTTCATCCGGCTCGCCTCAATTTCTCCGGCCGCACTTTCCTATTGAACAATGCTGCTGCTCTCGATGGAGGGGCCGCTTCATATCCGAATCCAATAAGCCATCACTGAGACCTTCCAAACGCCGCCGCTAATTCACTTGCTCTCGCAGAAACATGGAGCTCAAGGACAACACCATCATTGTTGTTCTCGGCGCCTCTGGTGATTTAGCCAAGAAGAAGACTGTACGTACACACTCATGCCCAATCGGTGGAGGCGTCACACTAACATCACTGCAGTTCCCAGCTCTCTTCGGCCTTGTAGGTTACGCGGCCACACTCATGTTTCGCCTCCATTGACCATCGATACAGCACCGAAACAACTTCCTTCCCAAGAACATCAGCATCGTCGGATATGCGCGCACCAAGATGGACCGCGAGGAATACCTCAAGCGCGTCAAGTCGTACATCAAGACCCCCACAAAGGACCTGGAGAAGCAGCTGGACGAATTCTGCAACTTCTGCACCTATGTCTCGGGTCAATACGACCAGGATGACTCGTTCATTCAGCTCGAGAAGCACATGCAAGAGATTGAAAAGGGCCGCAAGGAGACCAACCGCGTCTTCTATATGGCTCTTCCTCCCAGTGTCTTCATCACAGTTTCTCAGCACTTGAAGCGCAATTGCTACCCAAAGAGCGGTATTGCCCGTGTCATTGTAAGCCATGTGCATTTCTCAATGCAGTTTCAGGCCGCTGACTGCAATCGTACAGGTCGAGAAGCCATTCGGCAAGGATCTCCCAAGTTCAAGAGAGTTGCAAAAGGCACTGGCTCCAGACTGGTCTGAAGATGAGCTCTACCGAATTGACCACTACCTGGGTAAGGAGATGGTCAAGAACATTCTCATTCTCCGATTCGGTAACGAATTCTTTGGCGCAACCTGGAACAGGAACCACATCGACAACGTTCAGGTACGGTGAGCTCAGCATGTTCGGAGATGAAAATACTGACAAGCACAGATTACCTTCAAGGAGCCTTTTGGCACCGAGGGACGAGGAGGTTACTTTGACGAGTTTGGCATCATTCGTGATGTCATGCAGAACCGTGAGTGAAGAAACAAAAATCAGAAAAAGAAAGAAAAAGTTACTAACGATTGCAGACTTGCTGCAAGTTCTGACGCTCCTTGCTATGGAGCGACCAATTTCCTTCTCAGCCGAAGACATCCGTGACGAGAAGGTGCGTGTCCTCCGTGGCATGGCCTCCATCGAGCCCAAGAATGTCATCATTGGACAATACGGAAAGTCGCTGGATGGAACGAAGCCGGGCTACAAGGAGGACGACACCGTGCCCAAGGACTCGCGATGCCCCACCTTCGCCTCCATGGTCGCTTACATCAAGAACGAGAGGTGGGATGGCGTGCCCTTCATCCTCAAGGCCGGAAAGGCGCTCAACGAGCAAAAGACCGAAGTTCGCATCCAGTTCAAGGATGTCACTTCGGGTATTTTCAAGGACATTCCCCGTAATGAGCTTGTCATTCGAGTGCAGCCCAACGAGAGTGTCTACATTAAGATGAACTCCAAGTTGCCCGGTCTCAGCATGCAGACCGTTGTCACAGAGCTTGATCTTACCTACAGGCGGCGATTCTCCGACCTGAAGATCCCAGAGGCATACGAATCGCTCATTCTTGATGCGCTCAAGGGCGACCACTCCAACTTTGTTCGTGACGATGAGCTCGATGCCAGCTGGAGGATCTTCACTCCTCTGTTGCACTACCTGGACGACAACAAGGAGATCATCCCCATGGAGTACCCATACGGTAGGTTTCTTTAAGGTGGTATGAATCATACAGCTACTAATTACATGCTAGGCTCTCGTGGTCCTGCCGTATTGGATGACTTTACTTCTTCTTACGGATACAAGTTCAGCGACGCAGCAGGTAAGTCACGATATCTATAGTATACTAAGAATGATTGCTAATGCAGGCCCAGGATACCAATGGCCAATGAACGAGCAGAAGTTGTAGAAGCCTGCTGGTGACTATGTTTGAAAGCGGCAACGAATTGCGCCCTCTTGGTGTGTTGATCGGCCTCGGCAGTCTTTCCATGCAGAAATACAAGTAGCTGAATAGATAATGAATGCAACGACGTCTTTATGTCGCAAATTATTACGCCTGATGGCGCGTATATGATGAGTGGTTGTTTGTAGCGCGTCCTCTGTTGCTGGGTGTTCTAGTTTGCATTTAGACTTCCGAAAAGCGGAGGACGCAAGCAAGCGAGTGGCTGGCGGCGGTAGTGGGGTAGAGGCTAGAGCGGCATGGCATCATCGGGGGAATTGAGAAATTTTTGAAAAAGGTCTGGTCAGACGCCCACTGAGTCAAAGTAGAAGTGTCATAGCAGTCGGAGATTAAACTACGCAGTGAACACGTATTGATTTAAAATGGAAGGCATCCCTTGAGAGATTGCTGTTACTCACCAGTCGACACTACTCCCTTTCTTCGGTTGACGTTTGCAGCCTTGCGGAACCCGCCATAAATTACCGCGTGATTGCTTTGATACGCGACCCATTTTAGTATCCGTAGTAGAAACGCGGCGGTATTTATAGTCTGAGGTTTTGAGCCTCCGGATTGTACGACCTGTTTGAGTTGTAGCATCCCCCCACCTCTCCCCCGAGCAACCTCCGCAATCACGCCCGCGCGCGCCCATCATGACTCCCGCCCAAGATATTGCCGGCAGCATTAGCCAAATCTCACGCAGCGTATCCAACAGCCTCGACATCAGCACCAGCCCAACCCTCTCGTTCCACAGCCCGCCCTCGACATTCAGGCAACCGCCGTCTGCCAACTCTAGAGATGGCCGCACCCCGAACCTACCCGGCACGTCGCATGCGCAACAGCTGGCGAAACAACTGAAGCCGTTTGACACCAAGGACATCAAGGTCCTTCTCTTGGAAAATGTCAACGAGGCTGGTGTGGATATCTTGAGGGGCCAGGGCTACCAGGTCGAGGCAATCAAGGCCAGCCTGGGAGAGGATGAGTTGATTGAGAAGATTCGTGATATCCATGTGATTGGAATTCGGTCCAAGACGAAGCTCACCAAGAAGGTGCTGGAGGCAGCAAAGAACCTCATTGTTATCGGCTGCTTCTGCATTGGAACCAACCAGGTCGACCTCCAAACTGCTGCCAGCAAGGGTATTGCCGTCTTCAACTCGCCGTTCAGCAACTCGCGCTCGGTTGCTGAGTTGGTCATCTCAGAAATCATTGCGCTCGCTCGCCAGCTCACTGACCGCTCCATGGAGCTCCACAACGGTACTTGGAACAAGGTCAGCAAAGGATGCTGGGAAATTCGTGGCAAGACACTGGGCATAGTCGGATACGGACACATTGGTTCGCAACTCAGTGTGCTGGCGGAGTCTATGGGTATGAGCGTCATTTACTACGATGTACTGACCACCATGGGCCTGGGAACCGCGCGACAAGTAACATCTCTCGATGACCTTCTCGCACAGGCCGACTTTGTGTCTCTACACGTGCCCGCGACGGCTGAGACGAAGAACATGATTGGCAAAGAGCAATTTGCAAAGATGAAGGACGGTAGCTACCTCATCAACAACGCCCGTGGTACCGTCATTGACATTGCGGCGCTGATTGAAGCCAGCCGCTCCGGCAAGCTGGCGGGTGCAGCCATCGACGTGTTCCCCAACGAGCCTGCCGGTAACGGTGACTACTTCAGCAACGAGCTGAACACGTGGACAAAGGATCTTGTGGGTCTCAAGAATATTATCCTCACACCGCATATTGGCGGCAGTACCGAGGAAGCGCAGAGCGCAATCGGCGTCGAGGTCAGCACAGCATTAGTCCGCTATGTCAATGAAGGCACGACGCTTGGCGCCGTCAACATGCCCGAGGTCAATCTCCGAAGCTTGACGCTCGACCAGCCCGACTGCATGCGTGTGATTTATATCCACAAGAATGTGCCTGGTGTGCTGAGGCAGGTCAACGGCATTCTGCTGCACCACAACATTGAGAAGCAAATGTCGGACTCGAGAGGCGATGTTGCTTATCTAATGGCAGATATCAGTGAGGTCAAAGAGAGTGAGATTCGGGATATATTTACGAGCTTGGAGGAGTTGTCGTGTAAGTTTCTGCTCTCCTGTTATTCTTGGTGTAGGTCATGGCTAACAGGGTTGATCGCAGCGTGTATCCGAACGAGGGTCTTGTACTAGGGGTTGACTCGTCTCCGACAGGTGCCTCAGACTCAGCCAGGTGAGGGGACGAAGCGAACGTGTTTGAGGCGTGTGATTTCTCCTCTTGGTGTGTCTCGAAGTATGACGCCTCTTTCAATTCAACATTTCTTCTTCAAAAAGGGAAACGGGAAACTAGGGTGGGGCGCTGTGTAAAAACTTCAACGTTGAGTCTGTGTGTATGCATGCAGAGCAATAAAAGGTACATGTCGTGTTTGTTAGATTTGTTTGTGCACTGGTTTGCTTGGTATAAAAAAGTGTACTGGGGTCTGGGGAATGCCATTGCTAAAGAAAAAACACACATAGAGACAGAGAATGCATGATTTATGAAACTGGAGTGAACCAGGTAATACGTCTAGTTGAGATGAGGCAAGTTTGTGCAAACGTATGTTGTTGTTTTAGTGCTTGTGACGGCACAAGGGTGGTTGTGAGGGGTATAGAGCACCGTAGGAGCTGAGATGTATGAGAGCACGTGATAGAGTGGAGCATATGTATGCATGCCATGTCATGTTGTCTATCTATGGATATGTACTTGTCAGATGACGCCAACTTGTGACGGGCGACGGGAGGATTTCTTGCTGGACAAAGGACGTGGAGAGTGCGAGACTGTCTTTGTATGTACTATGTATATACATGTCTCGGATGGGCGAGACAAGGCAAATGAGGCAACCTGGTTTCAGGAGGTAGACGGGCTGGGTCAGGCCGGCGATGTGGCCATGCATGACGGATTTGCAGGGCAGGGAATGGCATGGGCTTGGAGGGGGCGTGGGGAGCGAATGGGCCGGCGTAGTGCGGATAGTAGAATATGGTAGACCAGTGTCTGAGGTTGCCGTATGTACACGCACGCATATAGGCACACAGGTACGGCGAGGCACCCATACACACAGATCGGTAGACACATCGATACATGGGGGGGTGCGGCTTATTCGCATGCAGCGTCGAGGAGGTGCATATTGTGAGACGAGAGTCTGCGTGGCCGTGGTTGGTGGTTGGGTAGGGCCCCTGGGGCATGGCCTGTGCGCTTAAGCGGCGTGCTGGCGGTGAGAGGCCCGTCTAGCGCAACCAAGAGAAAGTCGAATCAAGTGCTGGCAGGTGTTCGCATGTTTCCAACCACACCGTTTGTCCCTCTCACTCCTGGCGATGCTGTCAAGCCTGTGACCTGCAGCGCCATCCACTGCTGACCACAACGACGAGCAGCAGCAGTAGCTTCACGACAACACAGCCAGCGGCCGCACTTATATCGCGAGCTGAGCGTTGACCATCCGCCCCCCCTCCCCTCCTTACAGGGAGCCGCTTTGGACCCTGATATTCCGCACCGCCATTTGGAGGACATAGACGACGCAGGAGACGACACCTGCGACTGCCCGCCATGGCTCACATCTACGACATCGGCACCCGCGCATGGCAACCCGACACCACCGAGGGCTGGGTTGCCTCCGAGGTGACGGACAAGCAGATTGCGGGGGATAAGGTGACGCTGGTCTTCACTCTGGAAAATGGCGAGGTACTCCCACACCCACACCCACACCCATGGACTGCGAAGCCTGTTGGAAGAGGATACTGACCATGTCTTGTACAGACCAAGACGGTCGAGACGACTCTCGACGCCATCCAGACTGGCAACGACGACAAACTGCCGCCATTGATGAACCCCGCCATGCTCGAGGCCAGCGACGACTTGACCAACCTGTCACATCTTAACGAGCCGGCTGGTACGGTCTCCTCTCTATACACACAGACAATTCGCATGTCATACTGACTAGCATGCAGTCCTCCAGGCCATTAAGCTTCGTTACTTGCAAAAGGAGATTTACACATATTCGGGTATTGTCCTGATTGCAACGAATCCCTTCGCCCGCGTCGACTCCCTATACGTTCCTGGTATGGTACAGGTCTATGCCGGTAAACAGAGATCATATGGCGCTCCGCATTTGTTTGCCATTGCCGAAGAGGCTTTTGCGTAAGAATTCTCCTCCTGTTCCGCTATCGGCACGGAACCTGGCTAGCAGTAACTAACACGCTGCAGCGACATGTTGCGCGACCAGAAGAACCAGACCATTGTCGTTTCTGGAGAGTCTGGTGCTGGTAAGACAGTCAGCGCCAAATACATTATGCGATACTTTGCCACACGAGAGTCTCCTGACAACCCGGGCAAGCGGAGAGGCAAGTCCGACCAGATGAGTGAAACCGAAGAGCAAATTCTGGCCACCAACCCTATCATGGAGGCCTTTGGTAACGCGAAAACGACGCGAAACGACAACTCGTCTCGTTTCGGTAAATACATTGAGATCATGTTTAACAAGCAGACGGACATTATCGGTGCCAAGATCAGGACATATCTGCTCGAGCGGTCAAGACTGGTGTTCCAGCCGCTTAAGGAGCGCAACTACCACGTCTTCTACCAGCTGGTAGCCGGTGCTACCGACGAGGAGCGTGAGGAGCTTTCGCTAAAGTCTGTCGAGGAGTTCAGCTACCTCAACCAGGGTAGCGCTCCTGTCATTGAGGGCATGGACGACGTTGCTGAATTCAAGGCGACGAAGCAATCGCTGACCAAGATTGGCGTTTCGTCCGAAACCCAAGACGGCATCTGGCGCCTGCTTGCGGCCCTTTTGCACATGGGAGATGTCAAGATCACTGCGACGCGAACAGACTCAAATCTTTCTCCCGAGGAGCCCTCGCTCGTCAAGGCCTGTTCCTTGCTCGGAATTGACGCAAACACGTTTGCCAAGTGGATCGTAAAGAAGCAGCTCATTACCAGAGGAGAAAAGATTGTTTCCAACCTGACACAACAGCAAGCTATCGTCGTCCGAGACTCAGTTGCCAAATTCATCTATTCAAGTCTGTTCGACTGGCTGGTAGAGCGAACCAACGAGAGTTTAGCTACAGAAGAGGTCATTGCGTCTGCCCACACCTTCATTGGTGTTTTGGATATTTACGGTTTCGAGCACTTTGCTAAGAACTCTTTCGAGCAGTTCTGTATCAACTATGCCAACGAGAAATTGCAACAAGAGTTCAACGCACACGTCTTCAAGCTCGAGCAGGAAGAATACATGCGCGAAAAGATCGACTGGACTTTTATCGATTTCGCCGACAACCAGCCGTGTATCGACCTGATTGAGGGCAAGCTCGGTATCCTGTCCCTCTTGGATGAAGAGTCTAGGTTGCCCATGGGTTCCGATGAGCAGTTTGTCACCAAGCTCCACCACAACTACTCGGGAGACAAGCACAAGTTCTACAAGAAGCCTCGATTTGGAAAGTCTGCCTTCACCGTCTGCCACTATGCCGTCGACGTCACATACGAATCCGATGGCTTCATTGAGAAGAACAGAGATACTGTGCCCGACGAGCACATGGAAGTGCTCAAGGCCTCAAGCAACAAGTTCTTGACTGAGGTCTTGGACACTGCTGCCTCGATCCGAGAAAAGGAGACAGCCAGCACTGCCTCTGCCAAACCAGGTGCTGCAGTCTCAGCCGGACGCAGGGTCGCTACCAACCGAAAGCCAACGCTTGGTGGTATCTTCAAGTCTTCGCTCATCGAGCTCATGCAAACCATCAATTCAACTGATGTTCACTACATCCGTTGTATCAAGCCCAACGAGGCAAAGGCTGCCTGGCAGTTTGACGGACCCATGGTTCTGAGTCAATTGCGTGCTTGTGGTGTCCTCGAGACGGTCAGAATTAGTTGTGCCGGTTATCCTACGCGATGGACGTACGAAGAATTCGCCCTACGTTACTACATGTTGGTCAGGTCATCCGAATGGACACCGGAAATTCGCAACATGGCCACAGCCATTTTGAAGAAGGCTTTGGGCACTGGCAAGAACGATGGCACCGACAAGTACCAGATGGGTTTGACCAAGATCTTCTTCCGCGCTGGTATGCTTGCGTTCCTTGAGAACCTGCGTACTGCTCGACTCAACGATGCGGCCGTTATGATCCAGAAGAACCTCCGCGCCAAGTACTACCGCCGCGTCTATCTCGAAATGCGCGAAGCTGTCATCTCGGTTCAGTCGTTGGCTAGAGGTTACATGACCAGAGAACGCGCTGAGGAGGCACGACAAGTCAGGGCTGCGACCACCATCCAAAGAGTCTGGAGGGGTAGCAAAGACCGCAAGCGCTTCCTTTTCGTCAGAAACTCGGTCATCAAGTTCGAAGCTGCCGCGAAGGGATATCTTCTCCGCAAGAACATCTTGGACAAGAGGCTTGGAGATGCTGCTCGTATGATCCAGCGGAATTGGCGCAAGCAGCGTTACATTCGCGCCTACAAGAAGCAGCTCAAGCAAATCATTACTGTTCAGAAACTGTGGCGAGGACGAAAGGCCCGCAAGGAGTACAAGGTCCTGCGCGCCGAATCTCGCGATCTCAAGAACATTTCCTACAAGCTGGAAAACAAGGTCGTCGAGCTTACTCAGAACTTGGGTACGATGAGGGAACAGAACAAGTCGCTCAAGTCACAAGTGGAGAACTACGAGAGCCAGATCAAGTCATACAAGGAACGCAGCCGAACTCTCGAGAACCGCCAGAAGGAACTCCAGGCCGAAGCCAACCAGGCTGGTATCACTGCTGCCAAGCTGAGCCAGATGGAGGACGAGTACAAGAAGCTGCAGATCAGCTACGAAGAGAGCACTGCCAAGATGCGTCACTTGCAAGAAGAGGAGAAGGAGCTCCGCGCTTCACTCAAGAGGACTACCGAGGACCTCGAGCAGTCAAAGAGGAGGAGCAATGTCACCGAGACCGAAAAGATGTCGCTCCGCCAGCAACTTGCCGAACTTCAGGAGCAGGTCGAGTTGATGAAGCGCTCTGGACCAATCCCCAGCGACCTCAATGGACATGCTCCAAGCATTGCGCCCAGCAGCTTGATCAAGCTCGTCTCGTCGAAGAAGCCAAAGAGGCGCAGTGCCGGGCCCGACACTCGCGACATCAACCGCTTCAGCGAACAATACAACCCTCGCCCTGTCTCCATGGCCCCTGGCTCCACCATCCACAGGCAGAACCTCTCTGGCTCAACGTTTGCTCAGCTTGATAACGTCGAGATGGAGCTTGAGAACATCCTTGCTGAGGAGGACATGCTCAACGACGAGGTTACTCTTGGACTCATTAAGAACTTGAAGATCCCATCCCCCACTACCACACCTCCTCCCACCGACAAGGAAGTCCTCTTCCCTGCCTACCTCATTAACCTCGTCACTTCGGAGATGTGGAACAATGGTTTCGTCAAGGAGTCTGAGCGCTTCCTTGCCAACGTCATGCAGTCGATCCAGCAAGAGGTCATGCAACACGATGCCGAGGATGCCATTAACCCAGGCGCCTTCTGGTTGTCCAACGTCCATGAGATGTTGTCCTTTGTCTT